GCTCTCATTACTGATTTTGAAGTCTCCGAAGGCATATATTCTCGGGCTCGCATTGAGGATAACGATTCAGTTTGTTTATGGCTGGGAGCAAATGTCATGTTGGAATATTCATGTGAAGAGGTGCGATAGCTGCAACCGGTTGCTTACTGTTCGCGTGCTTACGGGAAAAAAGACCGAATAATCTATAACTTTTACATGTGCAGGCCACTTCGCTACTGAATAAGAATTTGGAAAACGCTAAAGCAAGTTTGGAAGTTCTTATAACTGATTTGCAGTTCTTGAGGGATCAAGTGACCATAACTCAGGTAGTTTGGTAATTGTATATGATATCATCGTTCCTAGTGATGTCTTCAGGCATTCTAGCTCATACATCTTGCTTGATGCCTGCTATGCGTGTGTTGGTTTTCGGTTATCGACTGTACATTACCTTTATGCAGGTAACTATCGCTCGTGTGTATAATTGGGATGTTCATCAACGACGGATCCGTCAAACTTCTACTTCTTCTACAGCTAAGGATTCATGAACTTAGAAATACCGTTTCTTGATATATAGTTGGTAGAAAGTATGCCCCTATCCCCGTTTTTCGCTGTTTCGATCAATGTTTCATCTGTGAATTTCTCGATCGATCTAGAATTTCAGTCCGCGGTCACTCCATATCTACAATTTCCACCAGTCCCAGGTTATTTATGTTGTTGGGAGCAATTTTGCTATATGATGTTTAAGGATACTCGGTATTGCCAATGGATTTTAGTACTTTAATGTTGGGAGCCATTGCCACAATTTTGGGAGAAACTTTTAATTTTTTTTCAAAATCATATTTAGCATTTAATTTTTGATTTATTTTAGTACTTGTTTAAAACTTAAAGTTAAGTTTGAAAAAAATGAAAGTTTAAGTTCTAAAATGGACTAAAACTGATAGTTTAGCACTAAACTCGTTAAGTTTTTAACAACAGATATTAAAATTAAACAAAAACTAAATGTTAGGTATGATTTAAAAAAATAAAAGTTTAAGTACTAAAATGTATTAAGATTAATAGTTTAGGTATTAAACTTGTAGTTTATCCGAAATACTATAATCCCCAACTGTCTTTTTCGATAAAACCGGGTTTGGACCGCCAGAACTTTCGGATTTATCCAAGTCACTCTGTCTATTTATTACATATTCATTAAAAAATATTCCTTGTCGGTGACATTAATAAAATAATAAATTCATTAGAAAATTCAAAAAACAAATATCATGCGAAAATCCCTTAAAAAAATACGTGAACATCTTTAATTGGATTTCGTAATTTGATATTAATTCGTGATAGAGATGCATTCATTTAATACTTTCTATTTAAAAAAATTGCGTATTTATCGCTATTGTTTTATTTCTCGTACCTTGACAAGGGTAAAATACAACATAGGTCCCTTAATTATGATCAATGTTCTTTCTGGTCATTGAACATTTTGACAGTTTTGAGTAAAGAAAGCAGCGATACCTCTTTGGATCTTGTAATTGTGAACATTGTTGATTTTTTATCTGATATTTAATGGCTGTTTTTACATGCAGGGAGAGTGAAATTGATTGGAGAACATATTGACCATGAAGGATACTCGGTATTGCCGATGGCGATCCGGCAAGACACGATTGTGGCAATTCGAAAGCGCGACGAAGGAGAGGCTGAAAAGTTTCTCGGAATTGCTAATGTTAATGACAAGTACACTACTTGTACTTACCCTGCTGATCCTGACCAGGTTTACTTCTTTCTTCATCAATTATTGAAGTGATTATGTAACTTGCTAAATGTTTCTGATAGTTTATGTATTGAACTTCAATTTCCCGGTAGAACTAGATCCTGCTTGTAAAAATCAGCTTTTTCTATTTTCTGTGATCCTTGTCTTAAGAATTATCTGGAATTTGCGTCGATATAGCTGATATGGTTGACTCTTCAGGCAATTGACTTGAAGAAGCATAAATGGGGTCACTACTTTGTTTGTGGGTGAGATATTGAATCCTTTTGGTCCTTTTTATCTTCCTTTAATTTGAAGTTGCTACATATCTTTTCCAACAGACATGCAAGTTCTTTTTTAAAATGGAAAAGATTTTTACGGTACTTATGTTTCTATGATACTACCAAATTGGTGATGCTAGTACTTCCCACATTCCGTAGGTATAAAGGTTATTAAGAATACGCCAAGTCAAAAGGAGTGGATGTCAGTGAGCCAGTTGGTCTTGATGTTCTTATTGATGGAATAGTTCCTACAGGTATTCTATCTTTTACATCACTTACAAGTAAACTCAGACTTCGATTCTTAATGAACAAAAGTTTACCTTCACATGCAGGCAGCTGTATGCTCCTATAGAGAACTTAACTCTCATTGTGCAACTTTTTTCCAGGCTCCGGTCTATGAAGCACTGCAGCTTTTGTTTGCTCATCTACAATTGCTATCATGGCTGCTTTTGGTGTTAACTTCCCAAAGGTTTGCTAATTCCATATTCATTTTGATAATCGCAACTTTGCAAGTCGTTTTCTGAAATTTCAATACCTGTTCTGTTAACAGAAAGAAATTGCCCAAGTTACATGCAGCACACTGGAACACAGTCTGGTGGGATGGACCAGGTTACACTTCTTCTACCTTCTCTTTGTTTAATTTGATTTTCCCAAGTCATCATGTGTTTATCAAGCTGCCAAAATTGAATTACTATGTTATCATTGAAAATGGTCTTCACTTGTTCCTTGTTTTGTTATAATAGTCAATCTTTGTGATGGCCAAAACTGGGTTTGCTGAGCTAATTGATTTCAATCCTATTCGTGCAAATGATGTGAAACTCCCCCATTCATTGGCCGAATCTCAGAAAGTTGATACAGCTGCCACAAATTATAATAACAGAGTTGTTGAATGTTGATTGGCTGCCGTAAGTTACATTTCGTTATCTGTATGTTCAATCATGTTTACGCTGTCTTTGTTTTGGTGTACTCACAGTGTGCAGTTTTTTGTCGAAATCTCAGATTGTGCTCGGTATAAAACTGGGAATGAAGTCCTAAGAGGCAACGGAAAACTCTTTCTGATGTTGAAGGGTTATGCGTTCAATTCGCCCAAGCTCACAAGGGAATGTTAGTAATGCTTAAATCCCACATAGAGGGGAAAACACATTGAGATTGGATATTTAAGGCTTTCATTCTCCTTGTTGAGTGACAGAGAACAAGAGGGGATTCTCGTGCGTCCTCGTCGCCACCGTCGTCCGGCTCTGCTCAGTTCAATTTGTGGTTGTGACTTGTGGTAATAATAATTGATTGTTATCTTTTTAGAGAAAATTTGTGAGGAATTTCTCTCTAAAAGAACAAGTTGATTAATTGACTGCTTTATTTATAGAATTTAAAAGTCGTATTTCTCCTTGATTTAATCTTTACGTTAAGATGTATCTGGACTGAATTTGCAGTTTTGGAGAGACAAGTTTAATTCAAAAGTTACAGAGTTTAAATACAAGAGTTACAAACATCTAAGTATTGATGCGATGAAGTACATTTGTTTTGGTTGTTATTTTTTGAGATTTTATTTCAAAATTAAAATTAGAAATTTATTCTGTTTTTTTGTTAGATGAAAATGTCCCTATATTTAGTCTATAAATAAAAAAACTCATTTGGTTTCTCAAATCAAATCACTCTCAAGTGTTTTAAGTTACTCTCTTAAAGTTTCTTTCTGAAATACCACCCGTAGTTCACTTCGAATTTAGGTGTACGATTTCTCAAAGCGATCGTGTAAACCTCGGGAACGATCCGTCTAAAGTATCGATTACACACATCTAAACGAATTTATTTATAAGACATTAGTTTTCACCACGACAAGGTTTTCTTAGATCCAGTCCTTCATTATTGTTTATTTATCCCGTTAGTGTTAACGTGTGAACTTTGTAGTATATATTTCTTACAATGATAATTTTGAAAAGGTGGTTGTTCAAACCTATAGTAGTGAAGCTTTTCACCTGCTCTCCCCTCCCCTGTCGGTGGAAAGTCTTTCCGCGTTGGTGAGATCCATTGCAATTCTCTATAATAAGCTTTGGTTCACTGAATTCAAGAAGATCTATCGTGAAGCTAATGGTGCGACGGATTACGATGTCAAGATGCTTGCCCTCCGAGATGGTTCTCTTTTTATTTTCGACTCTTTTTCAATCTCATTACTTCATATTCTTCACAAAGACACTCATGGTCCACCTTATTCTTGTTTGAGAAGCTAATGTCTTGGGTTTTAGCCTTCTTTATTATTCAAAAAAATGATATCAGTATTCAGTAGTTAAAGAAACCGTCAGTTATTATAAAGGTATTTAATGAAAAGTGGTCATTTCTTATAAGCATCGTTCTTTGGATAAAAAATTTCTCTCACAAATTTACGGATGTCTTCCACCTAAGATATATACAACAATCAGTGACTTCATCTAATACTGTTCACAAGAACAGAGGCATGTAGGAACTTGGGCGGCCACTTGCCCTTAATTTTTTTTATCATTAAAGAATATAAGGACAATTGTTTATTTAGGCCTTTAAATTTTGATTTATTTTGATTTTATCTTCCATTTTTATTATTAATTATATTTTACCCCTTAAACTAAAATCATGATTCCGTCCTTAATTGTTCAAACATTTTTTTATCCCCTAAATAATTAACCTCTATTCTCACCCCCCTTATATTTTCTTCAACGCATATTTTTCTTAAAAATATTAAATGTAAATCTCTCTTTCAAACATTTTTTGTTCAACTATGGGCCATAAACATTACCAAAATAGATCCAGCCTTTGAAGTATGGATTTAAATTTATTTAATGGACCCAATCAATGGAATAGTTTCGAAAGAAAAAAAGGAAGAGAAAAAACAGTTAACCCTAGCCCCTTGGTTCCCCTAGGGATTTATAGCACGTGAGAAGCAGCTGATGAAGAAAAGCGGAAAAATACGCGCCGCAACGACTCAATTACCATAAAAACACATATTCTTTCATTTAAACCGTTCGATAACTCTCCACGTCGTTAATCCGCGTGAATACCCGTTTCAACGGCTGAGATCCCCGTCACGGAAGATACTGGTAGAGCGAGCAAACAAGCTTCCCCTCTCTCCCCCTCTTCCAAATTTCTGATTTTTTTTCCAAGAAAAAAAAATTCTCGATTATTTTTCCTAAATATGAAGTTGATGGAAGAGCAGAGGGAGTTTGAGGAGGAAAATGAAATTAAGACTTTGGAGGGGGAAGAGGCTGAGGGTGAAGATGAAACTGAAGTAGACGGCGGCGAAGAGGAGGAAGAAGACGGTGATGACGACGAGGACGAAGACGATGACGACGAAGGAGAGGATGATGAAGATGATGAAGTGCAGGTTATTCACCCTTCCGGTGGTCCTCCGGTGCAATCAGTAGACGAAGACGAGGACGATGAGGACGAAGATGAAGATGGTGAAGGCGACGGAGATGGAGACGACGATGATAATGACGACAGTGATGACGACGAGGAAAGTGAAGAAGAGGTAAATTCTTTTAATCTAACTTAATTATGGTTAATTATTGTGTTTATTTGAATATCTTTTAATTTTCAGGTCCTTTTCAACTGAAACTTTTCAGATCTATTGTTTTTCGTTCGTATTTCTCGCTAATTGTTTGATTGGAAGATGTAAATTTTATTAATCTACTTTAATACCTTTTAATCATTGTGGTTATTTGAAAAATCTCTGTATTTTCATGTCTTTTCCTGCTGAAACTGTTCAGATCCATTGTTTTTCGAGGTTAAACCTCAAAATTTTAAAAAATAATCAAGCTTAATTTTCATCAATTTGATTATTTCTGGAAGGATATTAGCCGATTCTTTAATTTTCCTCTCAGATCCATTTTCTAACTAGCGGCTTTCCCCCTATTAACTGCATCTTTAATTATAATAGTTAGTTAATCGCCATAATTTTACAGATCCAAAATCACATAGCTTTGGATAGTTTAGAGCTTTCAGATCCAGCCTTAGAAGCTTTAGATCTACGGTTATATTTTCTGTTTATTTATTCCTTTGATGTTTCTCAGCCAAATATATTGTCATGTTTGGCTACAAGGAAAATATACTGGAAAATCAGTTTCGTTGATCTTTTTGTTCGTGATTCCTTTACATGTTTTGTGTTTTAGGAGGATATGGGAACAGAATACCTTGTTCGAGCCGTTGGTCGAGCCGAAGATGAAGAAGAAGCTAGTGATTTCGAACCAGAAGAAAACGGTGAGGAGGACGATGACGAAGAAGACGAAGGTGCCGGCAAGATTGAAGCTCCGCCGAAGAGGAAGAGATCGGACAGAGATGAATCCGATGACGACGGTGATGACGGCGGAGAGGATGATGATGAGAGGCCGTCCAAGCGATAGGGATGATGAAAGGACCAGTGAGGGCTGCTGTCACATAGGTTCAATCTCTCCCCCCCCCCCCTTTTCTCGTTAAAAACCATTCGTCTTTCTGTTGTTTTAGAAAGTAGGGCGAACATGAAAGTAGTATTATTATCATGTTCAATGTGGTAATATGCATAAGATTTGGTTTTGTATAATGGGAACAGCTAGCTGGTTTAGAAACTGTGTAACTTATCCATGTTTTTAGATTGAATTCTACTCTAATTGGTTACTTATTTGATCATGGATGGTTAGGGACTTTATTTGATTGGGTAAATTAGACGATTTGGTAACCAAACTTTATTCTCTTTCATATTTTTTCATTGTATTTTCATCTTTTTTATTTTACTCACTAAATTTTATACATTGAATTTTTTTATCACCCCGCCTTTAAATAATTAAACGACGTTAATACATGGTAACTTACATCAAAACGACGTCTTTTTGAATTCTTGAAAAAAATAAATTTTAGATTAAAATGATATAATTTTGATTAAAATACGGTCATGTCTTTAGTGATTTAATGGTGGAGTAATTTGAAAAAAAGAAGTATGATGAGTGAAATTGGAGAGAGAAAAATTAAGTTACCATATATATAGTTTATCCTATTTCATTTTATGGTGATTGTATCGTTAATTATTTAACGGTGTAGTAATATTTTAGATCTCATTTTTCTCTATAGTTCAATATATGTTCATACCGGAGAGTTTTCATTTTAAATAATACCTTTTATTTTATCCCATCAAAATTTAGAGATTTGATTAGAAAACTTGTTTTGATTTTATATAAGTATTGTTTTGTTTGTAGGGTAAATTACGTGATTAATATCTAAACTATTATTTTTTTATTTATTTTAGTATTTAAACTTTTATTTTTTTAAAATTATACTTAAAGTTTAGTTTTTGTTTCATTTTAATACACACATTAAAAACTTTAGTTTTTATTTCATTTTAGTATATGTTTAAAATTTAACGTTAAGTTTTGAAAAGATTAAAAGTTTAGGTACTAAAACAGATCAAAACTGATAGTTTAATTACTAAACACGTTAAATTTTTAGCGATGACATACTAATATGAAATGAAAACTAAATGTTATGTATTATTTAAAAAAATTAAAAAATTAGGTTATAAAATTTATAGTTTAGATCATAAAAAGTGAATGAGATGATTGAAAAAATATAAAAAAATATATAAAATGAATACTTTTATCATAAGTTTGTCTCTTACCGTATCCATCTTTATTATTTCACAAAAATTGACGGAATTTTAAAATTTTAAAAACATTTGAGTTTACATGATCAAATCAAATTTATTTTTACATGTAAAGAAATTTTATAAAATAATTTTATTTATGTGTTAATAGTACCAAATATCTCAAAATTGTTAGTTAAAATTTTTATTAATCTGTAATAAGTATAAGGTAATATATATTTAAAGATAACATTCAATTATTCATGGTGTTCAAAGTTGAAATCTCAAGAAATAACAACAATTCATTTAATAACGAGATTGTTTGGATTTTGCAATTGTTAATTAAATTTTAAATTACTCTATATTTTAAAATATTTTAATTGTATTATTAAACTAAAATATCATTGCAAATGATGTGGTGTTTTTTTTTTCTATTAATACGTGAGAAGTACAAAGTAATATTAAGGACATTTTGAAACATTTTGAAATTTAGGAATTAGTTTGGATACGGTGTAGATATTAAGGACTTTTGACCAATTAACCCTTTTCATAATTAGTTTTTTTATAGCCTTTCGTTGTTCTATAATTCCGATTACACCCCCTTTCTGTTTCGAAATGACATAAAGATCCCATACGTACCTCTCTACAATAGCGTCCTTGTCTTTTTCGTCTTCTTCAGTTCTAGTCTTCCTGAATCCGATTGTTCCCTCTACTTGTAAGGTAAGCCAGTTCAATTTATGTATTAATTTTTTCTTCAAATTTCTAGTTTAATTTTCGATTCCCTGAATCCGAAAACTGGGATTTTTTAGCTCTAGTTCGTAATCATGTACTTAAGAGAAGGCCGCTCCTTATTGCTGAAAGTGAAGAAACCTTCAATCCCATTCATTTTGAACACAAACCCAGTTTTAAACCCCAACAAAGAACCCCAATCCGACCAAAACCAGACCCAACTCGAAGAATCCCATGTTCTCGACACATTAAAACAAGAACCCAGCATTTCTTTAGCTTTAAATTACTTCAAATCTATAGCCAATTCGAATTCCTTCAAACACACACCACAAACATACCAATGCATGATCCAGAAGCTCGCACGAGAGTCCCAAATCGATGGTATTCAATATCTTTTACAACAGATGAAGTTAGAAGGGATTAGCTGTAGTGAGGACTTGTTTGTGATTGTGATTGATTCTTATCGCCAAAAGGGTTTAGTTGAACAAGCTTTGAAAATGTTTTATAGGATTAAGGAATTCGGTTGTGAGCCTACGGTTAAGATTTATAACCGTGTTTTGGACGCGTTGCTGAGCGAGAATCGGTTGTCGATGATTAATCCAATATACGGTAATATGAAGCGAGACGGATTGGAGCCGAATTTGCTTACTTATAATATTCTCTTGCTTTTTTTGCCAAGATGTTTGTGAGAGGGTGCAGTCCCAATATCTACACTTTCTCTTCGTTGATGAAGGGGTATTTCAAGGCAGGAAGGGTTCATGAAGCTTTTGTCTGTTGGAACCGGATGGTTCGAGAGGGAATTGAAACTAATACAGTTTTCTATAACACTGTAATACACGGTCTCTGCTCAAATGGGAAGGTCAACGAGGCGTTATCTTTATCCTATCAGATGGAGGAAAATGGCTGGCCTCCAAATGTAGTCTCATATAGCTCTCTTATTAATGGATTCGCAAAGGTCAGTGATTTGGTCGGTGCATCTGAAACATGGAATGTAATGATGTCCAACGGTTGTCATCCCAACGTTGTAGCATATACAAGTATGGTGGATGTCCTTTGCCGGCATTGTATGTTTGACTGTGCTCGTTCTCTTATAGAGAAGATGGTGTTGGAAAACTGCACTCCGAGCACAGTCACTTTCAATGCATTTATCAAAGGTTTATGCAGTAACGGAAGAGTTGATTGGGCAATGAAAGCACTTGACGAAATGAAGCATTATGGTTGCGTTCCTAACATCATAACATACAATGAGCTGCTCGATGGTCTATTCAAAGTAAATAGGCTAAAAGACGCTTATGTGATTGTGCAGGAGATCGAAGAAAAAGGAATTGAATGGAATTTAGTCACTTACAATACCATTTTTTCTGGATTTTGTCATGCCGGTATGCTAGAGGATGCTTTGCAACTTCTTGGGAAAATGCTGATTCGAGGTATAAAACCTGATGCAATCACATATAACATAATAATCTTTACCTAATGTAAGAAGGATAAGGTGAAGATCGCTGTCCAACTTTTGGATCGTACACGTGTTGGGGATGACTGGCGTCCGGACATAATTTCATACACGAGTCTCATATGGGGCCTTTGTAATTGGGTCGATATAGAAGAGGGTATCGGTTACCTTAATAAGATGATAAATGAGGGGATATGTCCCAATGTTGCAACATGGCATGTTTTAGTCCAATGTTTGTTTAACAGCTTAGGTCATTTGGAACCTATTCACATACTGGATGATATTCTGGGCAACAGATGAGAACTTGCTAGGCTAGGATTCTTTTCGGGTCAAGGCGGATACGTTGCGAACCGTTGATGACAATGTAAAGATACTCATGTCGAGTGACTGAAATGTACCTGTTGCCTAGCCTCAGTTGGTTAATACATTCTATCAGAGAAGGCTGAACATTAACTTGTTCATTTTGAACCACAAAATTCTTGCAGATGAACATCGGTCAGTTTTCTCAGCCTAACAAGTGAGTCCACTCGACTAGATGTGTCTCCAACTCATGGAAACCTTGTAAGAACAGGGAGTTTTAGTTTTTTCTTACCAGATAATGGCATTGTCATTCCTTGCACTGTGAAGATGCTTGCTGCGAGCGACACTGCAGCAGCTGCTTCTCTAGATTTCCGACTATTTATTTCGGTTTGTTTGATTTAGGGGACAAATTTATGAGTTATTTGATTACAAACAGTTTACTCCATTTTATTTTCCCCAGACATGTTACTCGCCCGGTAAGATCGTTCTCGAGAGGGCATCGCTGTTCTTCACGGAGAACATTTCCTTCCACACTCGGCTCGACTCTCCGATGGTACGGTAAGACCTTGTGTGATACCAAGAAAACATCTTCACCGGTTTAAGTGATAGGGGAAATGCCATGTACAAGTCCCTTAATGTTTGTATAGTTTACATTGTAGATGGGACCACCAATTGCAAGCAACCGACAGTTTGAATTAATAACTTTTTTGTCTGCAAGAATCTTTGCAGTGATTTTTGTTCCTTTTTTTCTCTCATATGGGCCTTCACCAATACCACCACAAGTTCCAAGTTGGACTTAAATGTATCATAAATGAAAAAAAAAACATCTTTTATCATCAAATAATTATATCGATCAAGGTAAAATTACTTTTAAGATAATAATTCTATACGATATCTGATATTAGGTCTTGAGATTGATCTCGAACAACTAGCCGGCCGTCATTAAAGGAATGCTACTGGTTTGATCGATCATGTAGGTGCATGATTTGCATGTATCTGCCAATGATTTCACTTTGTGAGTAGTGGATGTCGCTTAGTAGTTTCGAGTGACCCCTTGTCCAAACGTGGTTGCTTGATGCATACAATTCAGGGTCTCATGTTTCACATCAGCTTCCCCAATCTGGTATAGACAAAACCCATTGGCTGCTGCCTAATGAAACAGCTTCATGCATCCTACCTACGTACATGTATGATTTCATTTCAATGATTGATTCTCTATCTAGTCATGGTGAAACAAACAAACTTCATCTTAAACCCCAAACCCTAAATCATTAACTAATGTTTCTTGGCTCTATCTATAATATAATTTAGACGATTTATTTGAATAAATGAATGGTGAGTCAACGAACCTCATGCTACCACTTATTGGCTCCATGAAATATCTCCCTTTGCAGCCTTTTATATAAAGCCTAACACCATCTCTTAGTTCTCAGATCATTTTCATATTTCCCTGTGCTTTTATATCATTAACCCTTACCAAACCATGGAGGCAAAGGAAAAAGAAAAGCTTTCAAGCAACAAGAAACCAAACCACATGCTTCCACAGTGTATATGGGAGCACAACCTTACTTATCATCTTATACATACATGAATACATACATACATGCATGTATATTAAACAATTTAGATGAATTTTTCTAATATTTTATCCTTTTTTCCATTGCAGGTCATCCAGTACCGATGCATGGGAACTCCTATGTGGCAGTGGATTCTTTATCTTTATTTGGTGCTATCCTACCTGAGCTTCCTTTTATTCCTTCTTTAATTATATACACACACAAACACACACACACACACACACACACACATATATATATACACTTCTTGACCTTGTAAGACCTTTATTTGACCGTATACCACCCAGTCCAGTTCTTGTCCTTATAGCAGAATCTGCCTGTTTTCCCTCCCCATTGCTGCCCATCTCTCCTTCTCCTTCCTTGTCTATCCCTCCTGAGCTGTAAAATTATTGTTATTATTATTACTATTAAGCACGGTAAAAGCTTTCACTTTCCTGTTTAGGGTTAAGTGCTTGAAGGCCACCATGAACTGGATTTGTTGTTATGTGCAGAGGACAATTATGCTTATTTTTGCAGGCATTTGTTTTCGTTGTTTTACATGTTGCTGGGTGTGGAAGTGAGAGAAGAATAAAAGTAAATATTCTCTGAGATTTGTAGTGTGTGTAAGACTTGTTTCTTTCTTTCTTCTCGTGACTTGTTGTTCATTAATGTACTATAGCCTAACACATAGATACATACACATGTATGTATATGTATGTGTGTATGTATTCATTATTGTTGTGTATTACTGTTGATTATTGGAGTTGTTCTTTCTTTCGGTCTGTCTGTGTCCCTGTCCGGAAACGAAGACACTTTTGTTTCTTTCTCTGTGTACTAAAGGAAAAATTTGATCGATTTACCATACGTACGGTGGAAATTGTTTAATCAATTTCATTTTCTTCTTCACTCACCTTTTGTCTTCTCTAAGTAAGGGATGAATAAGACAATATTCTTTTATCACGGAGATCATTTGATTCATGCAAATAATATAAAAATCCAACTCAATCCTTTAAAATTCCGTTAAAATTAATTTTATGGTTAATTTACAGTAATTACAATGCAATATCTGTTTAAAGATAACTCTTAAATTTTTAAATTTAATGCTTACCGCTTATATTTATGGTGCTGAAACCCGAGTTCTTAAGAAATAATAATAATTTATTTTAAATATTGATACTTTTATATAAATTTAAAGCTTACGGGAATGCTACTTGAATTCGCCATCAAAAGTTGGAATAATATATCTAGATCTCTTTTGATAAATGGTGTGATTATATTTTTAGTCCCTCTTGAAATTAGTTTTTCAATTTAACCCTTCTTAGAATGAAATTTTAAGAAAATGATATATTTGGATGGGCCAAGGACAATCTGAATCTGGGCTAGCCGAACAATTTTCCTTTGGGTAGAAGCATATATTTAATAATGTACAAGGCCACACACCAACAATGAATAGGTCGAATATTTGATAAAATTTAGGGTAAATTATATCGTTGACCACTTAATTATAGTCTCTTTTCATTTCAACCATCATTTTTAATTCTTATTAATCAGACCACCAAACTATTTAAATATATTAAATCAGACTATTAGCCGTTAACAGTTGTACTGACGTGACAGATAATAAAATTGATATAATTTACATTTAGTCCTTATTACTTATACAATCTATCAAATTTTTCATAATTTTAAATTAATTCAATATATTTAATACTCCAATTATAAGATTACATATGTCACGATATCATTGGAGGACTTTTATTAGTTTAATTTATATTTTTAATTTATATTTAGTTTAAATATTTTTTCTTCAATCAAACGCCATCTAATGTAAAGAAAATAAATTGAAACAATATTGTACTTGGAGGGGAGGGTGAATCAAACGTGGGCTCCTTGGATGATAAGGGGTAGCCTTAACCATTGCTCCAATACTACTTTTTAGTATAATGCTTACATCAATTAATATTTATCTTATAATATAATAAAGGCTGAAACAAAGAAAATAAAGCAACACTAAGACAATTTGATTCGAATAAATTAATATTTTAAAATATATCGTTTATATTCAACCCAATCCACCCATAAAATATATTATTTATATTCGACTTATCCCGGCTTGATTAGAATAAATTAATATTTTAAAATAGTTAAAATAATATACTTATAATTATTTATTATATTTTAAATGGTTAAAATAATATATTTTTACCTTAAACAAGATCCAGATTGAATATATAAAAAAGGTAAACTAGTAATTTATACCGATTGGGGTCGGGTTGGTGATTTATTACCTTAAACCCAGTCTTGTCCCGATTCGAATATATTAATACTTTAAAATAGTTAAAATAATACATTTATAATTATTTATTATAATTTAAATAGTAAAAATGATATATTTTTCTTAAATCTTGCCCGATTCGAATATAGATATAGAAGAATAAACTAATAATTTATATCGGATTAGATCAAGTAGTTTTAGTGTTGCTTCTATTTTCATTGTTCTCGTCTTCATTATATTATAAAATAAATATTAGTTGATGTAAGTATTATAACAAAAATTAATCTTGGAGCAATGGTTAAGGTTGCTCCTTATCATCCAATGAGCCTCAGTTTGGTTCCCCATATTTAAATTAAATATAAATTAAACAAATAAAAGTCTTCCAATGATATCATGACACATGTCATCATATAATTGGAGGATTAAATATATTGACTTAATTTAAAATTATAACTAATTTGATAGATTGTGTAAGTAGTAAGAACTAAATATAAATTATATTTATTTTATTAACTGTCACGTCAGTACTTCTGTTAACTGTTAACGGTCAATGGTCTAATTGAATGCATTTAAATAGTTGGATGGTGATAAGAATTCAAAAATGATGATCGAAATTAAAATGAGCTGTAGTTAAATGATCAACGGTATAGTTACACTAAAATATTTATGTTATATATATTTTTTATCAAATGTAAGCTACTTTTATATATATATATCCCTATTTGAATATAATATATTTATTTTTATATTATAAAAATTAAAATATAATGTAATGTAATTCAGATAATTATGGTATTTAAATTTATGAACCTTGAATTCAATTTTCTCATTTTTTTTAAAACGATATCGTTTGGGTGTTAATATTTAATTAAATTTAGAAAGGTCAAATATGTTCACTAATCCTCCATTTGACAAATCTATTTTTTCTCTTCTTTCTTCCAATTTACAATTATATTTTGAATTTTTCCCTGTATCATTTTCTAGATGTTTCCTTTAGATAAAGACTTTGAAAACTCATCTCAACTAACATGCAATTATAATAATATATAACCAGTTTTTATTTTCAATTATTGACTAAATATGGTCATAAATAAAAATATCATATTATAAACATACAAAATATTAAAATATTAATTTTTAATATAGTGTAATTTTCTATAAGAATATTCTTTAATTCTAGGGAAAAAACATTTTATCAAATATTCTTTTCCTTTGTTTATAAGTATTGTTGGGTTGTTGCCCGAATCAAGTTAACTTAGTCAGGGGCCAACACGTGATTTTATCAAATAATACACAAAGTAGCAAAACAATTTCTTGTATATACTCGTGTTGCAAGAGTTTTTAAAGTGGCTAATATACTATCACAATATGGTTGTTCATATGTTGTCTTGTAGTCTTGATGACCTTCCTCCCACCTTAGAGCTTGTAGTTCTTTATGATAATATGTAACGAAACGATACAACATTACCTTTTGGTCCAACAAAGTTTTAAGTATTCTATGCATTAACTCAAAATGTTGAGTAATCCTCATTGTTGCACATAATTTTTTTTATTAATTTTCATTTAATAAAATAAATAAAAGGAAATATAAAATGAATTCAACTATAGTTAAAGTATTTTTGAAAATATAAATAAATTCACATGCATAAAAGTATCTCACATATATGCTTCTGCCCATTTTTCCTTTGCTTCGTACAATTCTTTTACCCACCTCCTATCTTGAAATTTATGTTTATGAAATAATTTAGTCCAAGCCTTTTTAAAATCTAATGGTGTTCTACACTTGTCAACGTATCTCATAAATCCATCGTGAAATTGTTTATTACCATTTGATTTGACATTCATCGTAAGATGTCATAAACATAATCTATGTTTTGTCTCTAGGAGAATTTGAGAAAGGGCCTTTGCCATAGCTTTATCTCCCTCGATAATGACAATAAGTGGTTTGTAGCCATTTCCCGCTGCAATTAATTGTTGTAAAACCCACACATAGGTATCTTCTTTCTCATTTACTACCAATGCACATCCAAATGGAACTGTATTTCGATGAGGATTAACACCAACCAAGATTACAAATGGTTTGTTGTATGCATTGCACTTGTAGGTAGTGTCAAATGCAAGTACTTGTCCAAATTCCTTATAATCAATATGTGATACACCATCACACCATAGTAACTTCTCCAGGTTTCCATATTCATCTTTCGTATGGCTCACAAAAAATACTGGATCAAGTTCTTGCTTTCCATAAAGATACGCCATCACCGTTTCAGCATCACCATCTTGCACTCCTTCTTGTTTGATCCTATGTAAGTAATTGTACAAATATTTTTGTATAAATCCAACATTCTCAAGAGAATCAACTTCATTCATGAAATTTCACATCATTCTACTTGGAGCAATTCCCGAGTATGGGAATATAAAGTTTAGATAAAAGATGGTCCACCAAGAGTGACAGTAATAAGATTTAAATTTGACTTTACAAACTCGAATTCATGAATCCCAACTACTTGTTTCAACACTCGTGAGCAATTATTAAAGTCTTTTATAAACTGACATCAAATTATGAGCGAAGCACATTAAATCATATCCTTAAAAATGATCCTTTGATACTTTAAAAGATATTAGATAATTATTAAAATTTATATATATTAAAATCGACTAATAATAATTCAGATGAATTACATATTTAGTATCTAAACTATCAGTTTGATTCGTTTTAATACTTAGACTTTTATTTTTTTTTTCAAAAACTATATATGAAATTCAATTTTTGTTTCATTTTAATACCCGCCGTTAAAAACGTTTAATTTTCGTTTCATTTCAGTACCCTGAAAATTAAGTATCGTAGTGAGAAATGAGATAAGATTTAAGTGCTAAATTATGCATAAAACCTTTACAAAAATGTATGCACGTGAAAGGTATAAATAGTGGGAAATGTTCATTGTTTTAAAAGGCAAACCTTATCCACTTGCATTCCATTTTTATTTATAAAGGTCACTTTTTTATAACATAGGGGGTTATATTTATAACAATCCCACGTAACTCCACGTCGTTTTATCCTAATCATCTTCAACTAAAAAGTATATATAATCGGTTATATTCATAGTATTCCCACGTAACTCCACTTCATTCTATCTTAATTATCTTCAACTAAAAAGTGCACGTATATATATATATATATATATATATGTAATCAGGGCCGGTTCTGACTTTTTCTTGTCCCGGGGCAAAATTAAAAAAATTAGACCCTAATTTAAAAGAATATTAAAAAATAAGGAATATAGAATTTTAATCAAATTTTTATTAAATTAAATAAATATTAATTCATTACAACATCAAAAATGTCAAAAACATATTTAAGCATATAAATACTTAAAAAAACATTGTCTTCGAGCATTTCTTGATGCAAAATCATTGATGATAGTGTCAACATCAATGTTTTCCAACATATTTTTCTCAATATATAACATAGCTAGCACATTCAATCTTTCTTGTGACATTGTTGACCTCAAGTAATTCTTCAATAATTTCAGTTTTGAAAAACTTCTTTCCGCGGATGCTACCGTTACCAGCATTGTTAATAAAATTCAATAAGCAATTGAAACATTAGGATAACAATCTCTAGCTTTAACAAACTCAAGAACTTCAAGCGCTGACATGAATACATTTGGCAAAGTCAATTGCAACACTTTATTTTCAGAAAAAAAAAATCATCTGCATCAACATCCGACAAATTATTATGAGAAAAAATAATCTTAAAATTATTACAACATTTTTTTAATAAGTCAATAAGAAATAAGTTTATGGGTCCTGCTTTTAATTTAGTTTATTAATATTTATGGGTCCTGCTTTTAATTTAGTATATTAATATAGTTTTTAACGTTATGATGAGAACAATAAGTCAATAAGAAATAAGTTTATGGACTCTCTTGTATTAATATAAGAAAATGATATATTAATATTTATGGGCCTTATTTTTAATTTAGTCTATTAAAATATAATAAATTAATACAAAATAAAATTATGGGCCCTGGGCGGGTGCCCCTCTTGCCCCTGCCCAGAGCCGGCCCTGTATGTAATGATAATCGAGTATTAGTTGAACGGGACATGTATTCTTTTATCTTAAACTCGAGTCCAATCAGACACAATCTCATCCTTAAAAAACCCGATCCTATTTAACTTGAATTTGAATTCTAGAAAACTTGACCTTATAAGGTCGGAACCCATTGAGTCAACTCAAATATCCATCCCTAGTTATTCTATATTTAATGATATCGATAAATATAACGATTGCACGTATATTTAATGACATAATTATTTGATATAAAGGAAATTTACGTATTAAAAATTTTATTTTAATTAAGTTTTCTAATTGTAATGGACATTTTAATAGAATAATTATAGTTGGGTACGAAGTGAACATGACAGACGAGCCTCTATACCCATAACATATCTAATTATCTTTTAATTTACTTTTTAATAATTATTTCGTACTACAATTTTTTTAAATTATATTATATCATAATTCATATTACAAACACTAATAAATAAGATTGTTTATGGACGGTTAACCGTAAGATTTAGCTTAAATTGTCGGTTTTTTGTTATAAAGGTTACAATATTTATTTAACCGTAACCTAACCATTAAGAAATGGTTAACCGCTAACGGTTAACCGTTATAAACAGTTCGGTTACAGGTTAACCTATTATAATTATTTGTCAAAAAATTTCATAGTTCATAAGATAAGAAAATATAGAATTTAACACATACCTACACCGGTGTAAGTGAATAAAATAAAAAAGTGTAAAACTTGAAACATACTTACATCGGTGTAAGTGCATAAAATAAAAAAGTGTAGCATTTAACATATACTTACTAGGGGTGTGCAAAAATACTAGACCTTGTTGACCCGACCCGCAAACCCGAACATTAAAAAACCGGGTAATTTTATAAAAAAAATTACCCGACCGGGTCGGGTACCCTGCCCAAGATTTCCCGGGTCGGGCTCGAGTCACATAATTGTGTTTTTCAGGGTACCCGATTATCTGAGTACCCGGTTAGTTTTTATTTTCTTATTTCATATATATATATATATATGAAATAATAGATTATGTATATTATAGATTATTAGATTTGTTATTTCGATCTTTTAAATTTTATGTTCGGATGTTGGAGTATGTAATTCGAAGTTTTGAACATTTAAATTTATGTATATATTTTTTAAATTAATAATTTGAAATTTAAAAAAAAGGGTATCCGTAACATCCGGGTTAGGACACGGGCCGAGAAATCACCGACCCAGATTTGCACACCCCTAATACTTACACCAGCATAAGTATGTACATCTCTCAATATTTTAGTACCTAAGAATAAACATATAATTATATTGGTTAAGTATGTTTCTATATTTTCAAAATAAAAATAAAAATAAAAATATTGTATGTTTGTATGTATGTATGTGGTTTGCTTTTTCAATGTGGATGAAAAGGAAACATTATCTCTTTGTTGACTCTTCCCTAGTTTATTAATTAGTGTTATATAATTTCTAACCTATCCCTTTCTTTTATCAAAATGCCATACTTTTTCTTACAATTAGGAAGTCTTCATGCTTTGGTATTCATTTCAATGCAATAATATGTAAATACTTTATTAATAATAGAATTCTAAATATTCTTAATTAATGCTTCTTGGCAACCTTGAAAGGGATTTCTTTTTCCCTCTTTCAAACTTTATGTTATTGATTTGCAAAAAGGTGATAGGAACATGTCAACCATTAAAGGAGAGCCCATGGATTTCATTTATCCAAATTAAATAACAAAAAGAGAAAAATAATCATAATAATAATTCATTTGTTGATGTCCTTAATTTCTTTATTTATTTGGTGGCACAAAATGTTGATGAAAAGTTTTAATTTTTTTTAAAGATATGAAATCGTAAATTTATCGTTCTAGGATGTTAAAAATAAAATTTTACCATGTATTAAAAAATGATTTTATAAATTTTGATGGGACTTAAAACATAATTTTATTAATTCAAGGGGTAATTGTCGGTGGTGGGTTAAAGCTCGGTGATGCATGTAGAATATTTTTGTTTCCACTTTTTGGGCCGGGGTCCATGTTCTAAACTAGGCTTTTTCCCCTTTTCAGTCAAATATCATCCACTATTTATTTATTGGTTTATTCTAAAAATAGATATGTGTACAGTGGCGGATCTATAAATATTTTCAGGATGAACACATATGTATTGATAACAAAAAAATTCGTATGCGGTAGACTCAAATAAAATTTCAGGGTGTGCACTTTAGTAAAATGAACAACTAATATAAATAAATTCGGATTCCAGGATGGGCATGGGTTCAACATACATCCGCCGTTGTCCGTATAAAATATCATATTTTCACATTTGTATAAAAACATGAACTAAACGACCTCGGTGGTAAAGGAATTATTGTTATTCCTGAGGTCTCGAGTTCGTGCACCAAAAATATCAGGAGTGTGAGCGTTTAATGTCAAATGATGAAGAATTATTAATGAATGCATAATGCTTTATACTTATTCCATATTAATAAAACTATATTTTTAATATTTCATATTAAAAATAATATTTAAATTTATAAGATTTCATATAAATATTTAAAGTATTTATATCAAAAATAGATATTTAAGTAATTAATTTGATTATTTGAAGTTTATGTAATTTAGTCGTATGTTCCCATATTACTTGAGTCAAGATTATAACTCTAATTTTAATTATATTAATAAAAATAAAAATAATTACATTCAATAAATTAAACTCTGTTAAAAAATCTTAAACTAAATCTAATCTACGATAGGAGATTAAACTATTGAAATACCATCGACAATCGTAAATCATAGTCAAGCGTTGCGAGAACATTATCTCCAAATGTAAATCGCGTGTATTCAAATCCAATTGATAGTTCAAAGTATAAATGAGCAACACAGTAACAAATAAACGTCATCTTGATCAGTTAAGACATCGTCAAATGCAACCCTAAAAAATAAAACAAAAAAGCTGTTAAATGAAAAAAAAACTTCTTTTAAAATCTTTTAATGCTAATTAATTTTTTTAATTAAATTAAGATAATTATAAAATAATATATGTTTTTGATACCCTTAATCATTAAAACAATCATTTAAACGGAAAATTCATTTTTTATAATACTCGAAAACCTGAACATTAGTATTACTCTCGAGGGTATAAGTAAAACAAAAATAAGTATTCTTAACGTTAATTTTTTTAAATAAGATTTAAATTCAATATTTATTGAATGGATATTATTTTCTTTACCAAAAATAACCTAATAAGCTTAGGCTATAATTAGAGTAAGCTATTTCAATATTACATTTCCATCCTTAAGGTATACACTCCACGTTTCTATTAAAAAATAGCTAATTAAACTTTAATTTAATCATAAGGTTAAGACATTCTAAATATATTTAATTATTTTATTTAAATTTAATATTATTTACTTGTTTAAAAAGGTTATCAAATATAAGTAATTTTACAAATCCTTATCCCGTTAATATTTTTATGAGATTCTATGATCTTTTCTATAAATACCGTGGACACTCACGCATCTTCGAAAACACAACCTTTGCCCTTCTTCTTCGTCTTATTTCTCTCCGGTTCCATCCTTTCTTGTTACAGACCCTTTTCACTCTTCTCTTCCACGTACAATACTATACTTTTTTATATTTTAGAATTTGTTTATTGTCTCCATTAAAAGGAGAAGAAAAAAGCTTGGGTTTTTGTTCTTGGCGTCGGTAGACATGGTGGTGGCTTCGCCGAACCCGAGTCGAGCCGAGAAGCCGGAAGCCATAGAGCTTCCGGTGATAAACCTTTCGGGCGAGAGAACGGAGGTGGCAAGCCTCATTACGAAGGCGTGCGAGGAGTACGGTTTCTTCAAGGTGATCAACCATGGAGTGCCGGAGGAAACCGTCGCGGCAATGGAAGAAGAAGGTGTCAGCTTCTTTACGAAGCCGGATGTCGAAAAGCAGAGAGCCGGGCCGGCCGTACCTTATGGCTATGGCCGTAAGAACATCGGTTTCAATGGCGATATTGGTGAAGTTGAATACCTTCTTCTTCATACCAATCCTCTGTCCATTTCTCAGAGCTCCATTACCATCTCCGGTGACCCCCAGAAGTTCTGGTAATCATTGTTTTATCTTTCGTTAAAGTTCTCTTCCTACTTTGAATGTTAATGCATGTTTAATTGTATATGAATAAGTTATATATATATATATATATATATTAAAATATGATGAATCCATGAACGTGAGGTAGTTGATGGTGTATGTTGTTGTCATTCGATATCCTACATCGCCTTCAACTCCCAATCATCCCATGCTTTAAATGGCAAATGAGTACTATATTTGGATCTTGTTGTGGCCATTCAAAATTCCCACAATAAATTACTTCTCTTTCTCGTTTTTTACTATGAAATTAAATCATGGTTCTTTTGGGGTATATGTTGCCTCTGTATTTCTGCTCTATTTGCTTTGCACTGCAATGCCAAGTTACTAGTTTTACCTTAATGATAAAAAATAAAAAGGATGAATGTAAGGAAAAAAGAACAATAATTCATAAACATAGTGGAGGGACTAAAATTGTAGTTAGACCAAGTTGGGGAATATAGTTTTGTTTGTTTAAACTCTGCTTTCTCTCCCTACAAAGATGGGATATCATGTCAGAGTCAGAGACACTTCGGTGTTGTCTAGTCCCACTCGCCTCTTAAGTCACGTGCATAACACACATCCTCTCTTAAATATAGGCTCTATAGGTGAAGTACCTGTAACATCATGGATAATGGTTTTTTTTATTGAACTGATGACATCAAAGGATTAGAAATCAAAATGACAAGTCAGAGAGTACCAGGGAAGCTAAGGTCTGATCATATCATAAGACAAAAAAAAGGACCGAAATGAATAAAACTACATGAGAAGGAGAGAAACCCATAGATAGACAAAGTTTGAGTTCTTAGCCCAAACCCTAAATATTGCAAAGCTATTATTATTACTGCAGCTAACGATGGTTAACCCAATGCTGTGTAGCTCTGTGGTGAACGGTTACGTACGTGCTGTCCGAGGGCTAGCATGTGATCTCTTGGATCTGATGGCAGGGGGATTGAGGGTCCATGATCAATCACTGTTCAGCAAGATGATCAGGGACGTTGAAAGTGATTCACTTTTCAGGCTCAATCACTATCCACCTTCCTCGTTCCATCACTGCACCACCGGTGCTGTAGGGTTCGGGGAGCACACCGACCCTCAGATCTTGACCATCTTGAGATCCAACGACGTAGGTGGCCTGCAGATTCGTGTAGCCGATGCTGTTTGGGTCCCTGTCCCCCCTGACCCCACTGCCTTTTGTGTCAACGTAGGTGATGTTTTACAGGTATTCCACTCCCCCTCTCCTCTTTCGTAATCGGATCGGATCATCGAATAATTTAAGCCGAATATTATTATTTAGAGAGACCCACCAAAGAGAAAAAAATTAGATGATAATGGATCGATGGAAACTGATACATGCATCGGAAATCCAATGTACAACCTGCCCTATAAAAGGGTAAAGTGCCCCACATATCAGTTGCTATCCAATGAACACTAAAAGGGACTCTGGGTTATTTTCTGATTTGCTGGGCTGTATTTACCATTTTTAGTTGCTTAAAAAGCAACTATGGGATATCATGTAGCTTTGCTGACAGTTAGATTACCAATATATATATATATATATATATATATATATATACATATATTCTAGAAACAATCTTTGGGGCATAGGTGATAAGATGTTTCAGAGTTGGGGGAACGCTGAACGCAAGTTTGAAAAGTACTTTGCATGTCTAGGTTCGAACTCGTGGAGGGAACATACACAGATTTTGAAGCTATGCTTTGTTTTGGTCTAATTATGGTTTTACCCACTATATTATAGTAGAATTTAGGTTTTAGCGCTTCTATTATGGTTTGATCGTTTACTTTTCATAGTGTTACCAATCGGTTTAAATTGATAGTATCGGTACTTTTCAAGGTTTAATTTAGCACTTTAGTTTTTTTAGGTCTAATTGGAACTTAAATTTGGATTTAAGGTTCAATTTAGTAATTAGTTTTTTTTGCCCAATTAAGCACCTGAACATGAATTTTTAATTCAAATTGGTACCTAAATTTTACTATTTTGACTTGAACTATGAAGCTAAATTCAAGTACCTAATCAGATCATAAAAACACTTTAGTTTTAAATTAAACTTTAAAATCAAGTTAATCTATCAAACCATAATTTTTCCTTTCTTTACAGTTATTTGGCTCTTCGCTTAACCAACTGGAGTCCCATGGAAAGCTTGTAAATCATGTTCAATTAATAAAAGGGTCTAATTATGACATAGGTCCTTATCAAGTTGAATCTACTAACCTTTATTTCTTGAAGGCAATGACCAATGGGAGATTCATGAGCGTGAGGCACAGAGCATTGACTAACATCAACAAGCCAAGGATATCAATGGCCTACTTTGGGGCACCACCACTGCAAGCAATGGTCACTACCCCTCCAGAACTGGTCACACCCCATAGCCCTTTGCTGTATAGGCCTTTCACATGGGGTGAATACAAAAGAGCTTCATATTCTCTCCAGCTTGGTGACAGCCGCCTTCAACTATTCAGGAAATGAACATGTTGGTTATTAGACACCCGTTTAATTCCCTGCAATTTTGGCTGTAAAACCTTCAAATTTTCCATAGTTTTTGTTTACAGGCTGAAAAAAAATGTTGTATTGATATACTTGGTAAAAAGGGACACTTTTCTTTAACTCCAGTGGCACTTTGAAGTCGAATTATGGTTTTGGCCACAATCTATTAATATTCGAATTTGGAATTTTGGAGATCGACAATAAATTATTAATTAAAAAATATAAAAAATATTTAAATTTATATGAATTTTTAAATTTTAAGAGATTAATTGTCCTCACTAGACCCTCTCGGTCTATCCCTAATAGAGGGACCAAAACTAGAATTAACCAAAAAGAAAAAAAAACCTGCATATTTGTTCGAGTAGTGTGAATGAAGAAAGTATTGTAAATGAAACAAACCCTATGAGATCCTTCTTGTTCTCATTCTTCTGCAAGACTGACACCTTTAGATTAATGGTCCTAAGTAAGAGTAGAGGTGAGACCATTGGTAATGCAGGGACTGTTGGGTAAATGGATTCAAATTGTAGTCGTGGTTGTGTTTTTGGCCGTATCTTGTTTATTGATGTTGCAGATAAAACGAGTGTTATTACCGTGATTGTAAGTATCGTAGTCATATAATAACAGTCGCGGAAGACACCGTTACCATTATATAACGACACTATTGCGATCGCAAACCATTATTTAAATCTCTGATCGGATGTCTCTCGATGACCTTGTGATAGGGGAATCGAAACCCATAACCCATTTCCATTGTGATCGTTGAATTTGACATTTTTGAGGGACCAAACCTGGGGTTATGTCTAGTTAGGGTTACGTTGTCTTTTTAGGACGTCCTTTCACAGGCTTTAAGAATGTCTTTAGTTTTTAGTCTTTACCACTGAATTGATGGGATTTGGTCCAACCGATTGTGATACAATATGCTTCCATAGCTCAACTGGTCGAGCATGCATCTCGATACTAGGATAAAATATGGGTAATTATGATTTCTATCATTAATTTTGATCGTATTTTTTGTTTATTTAATTTTATTTTGTAATTTATAAATTATTCTATTTTAACCACTTAATCATTAAATTAAAAACAGGAAAAAAAATGATGTAACACATTTTTTTGATGATTTTTTATATAAATTTCTTTTCATTACCCAAAGAACCAGAAACAAAATCACAGCACACCTTAGAAATTATCTAGGAACTTACAGCATATATTAGAATAATAACTTACAACATAGCCACCACGAAATTATCTAGGAACTTGATCCGCATGGAGTATCGAAACAATCCACGAAGGCGGTTCAGGGAGAAAAATACTCTCCAAAACGTCAGTCCGAATTAATTTTCACCCACCGTCGCCGGAATGATTCCACATCTTCGAGTCACGACTCAAATGCACTTCAACGGGATTAACTACACTCTGCTAACCCTTGGATCGAATATACATCTCCACCATTAACCTGCCACGCTCCACTACCGACCCTGGTCTCGTGATTGAACTGTTAAAAATACGGGCATTATGGTCCAACCAGAGATTTCCACAAAACGTACCAGAACATCAGGTCCCAGTGGTCCGAGTTACCCCCATGCAGAACCATGCGTCCATGCCAACCAAATTGATATGAATCCAATCCAGCCAATCCATATTAAAAAATGAACCCCAACGTGACGAATTCACCAGCCCAAATTATAGAGTGTCTCCGGTTGTAGAAAAGGTAAGCGGTCGGGCTCATGATTTTGTAAAGCCCAAATGATTTGGATCATATTCTCAGGGGCTGACGAAAGAGAGAAAAAAGAGATAATATTCAATTTTCTCCGTAAATTATAACTGAAAATTCAATTTAGTCCTTTAACATATTTTTATATATAATTCAAAACTTTTCATCTAAATTCTAAAAAGTTGACATTAATCAAAGAATACTTTAAGTACCTCTTTTGATCAAAAAATATTTTAAATATATATTTTGAACAATAAAATATTTTAAATACTTATTTTAATTAAAAAATATTTTAAATACTTAAATAAAAACGAGTGCATACCGTATTGCTCTCAATTAATTATTACATATAATGTCAATATTAAATTGAAATAGGTTGATTTGGCATTATTGTTATGGGGAATACTATATTCTTCTTTAATTAGATATATGGAATGGCCAATAGTTTCCATTAAAGTTAAAAAGCAAAGGTGTATCGCACATGGCCACAATAGCCTTTTCTCCTACTCCATGTATAGCACATGGCTTCAAATAATACAAAAAGAATTGGAATTTTCAATGACTTCAACTAATTGCCTCATTGACTCTGAATTAACGGACGCTTAAAACATGTTACTCCTACTTTCACGACTACCACTGAATCCATCTCTTCTTCTTCCCTTTTGCTTCTTCATCATATGTCTCTTCAGCTTCTTTCTCGTGACCCCCACCCTGGCTTTCATTGGAGAGGTTGCTCTTTCTAAGCTTTTGGATGTGTTGCTTGGCAAGTCCATCGATGTTGCTCTCAAATGTGTCGCTGATCACAAGCAAGTGTACGACCAGCTCAAGGAGTGGAAATCCATATTGCCCGATATCAAAGCAGTGTTGAACCACGCTGAGGAGAAGCAGATCAAGGACGAGGGTGTGAAGAGTTGGTTGGAAGATCTCCAAGACTTGGCTTACGATGCTGATGACATCCTGGACGAGTTTGCTTATAAACAGTTACGTCTCAAGCTCCAGACAACTCAGGCTCAGGCCAGCACTAGTAAGGTACAGAAACTCCTTCCTACCTGCTGTACCGGTAGTGATTTCACTCCGTCGTCATTTCTGTTTAAAAATGCCATGATTCCCAAGATGAAGGAGATCACTGCTAGACTCAACAGTCTGGCTACACGAAGAAGTAGTTTGGGGTTGAGTGAGATCTTGCCTCAAGCTGCAAGCTTCGAGAGAAAGAAACCAGCCAGGCTGCAACCTACTTCGCTGGTGGATGGAGCTGTGGAGTATGTTGGTAGAGACAACGAGAAGCGAGAAATGATTGATTTGTTCAGAACTAATAACTCCGATGGAGTTTGCGTCCTTTCCATGGTATGGGGGCATGGGTAAAACAGCTCTTGCTCAGCTTGTTTACAATGATGCCAGCTTAAAGCAGTCTTTTGATCACAGGCCTGGGTATGTATTTCCGATGACTTTGATGCTGTCAAAATGACCAATACTATTTTACAGTCCATCGATCCTTCCTCACCTAATGGGAATGACTTGAATTTACTTCAAGTCAAGTTGAAGGAAAAATTATCTGAAAAAAGAGTCTTACTTGTGTTAGATGACCTTTGGAATGAGAGTTACGATTATTGGACCATCTTTCGGTCGCCCTTTGGAGCAATGACCAAAATCATTGTAACTACTCGACTTCAAAATGTTTCATCTACGGGATCCAATGAAATCTTTTCACTTGGATAAACTATCACATAATGATTGTTTGTCCATATTTACTCAGCATGCATTAAGAGCAAGAAATTTCAATGGACATCTCCAATTTAAACTAGTTGGAGAGAACATTGTGAGGAGGTGCAACGGCTTACCTTTAGCAGCAAAAGCCATTGGAAGCTTCTTACGCACAACCAAGAATCTTGATGAATGGGAAAGAATTTATGAGAGCGAGATATGGGACGTACCAGAAAATCAATGTGGCATAATTCATGCACTGCGATTAAGCTACCTTCATCTTCCTTCTCATTTGAAACGTTGTTTTGTGTAATGCTCCATATTTCCAAAAGATTACGAATTCGAAGAAGAGATAAGCTTGTTATGGAGCGCAGAAGTTTTCTTGCAACAAAAAGCAAAACAACAAATTAAGGAGCTTGGAAAGCAATATTTTCAAGATCTAGTGTCAAGGGCATTTTTTCAAATATCTAGTAAACAAAAATCTAGATTTGTCATGCATGACCTTATGCACGATTTGGCACAGTTAGTTGCAGGAGATACATGCTGCAAACTAGAAGGCAATAAGCAGCAGATGGTTTCACATCGTTCTCGCCATTCGTCTTATATTTCCAACAACTATGACACGATGAGGAAGTTTGAAGCATTTGATCAAGCAAATTCTTTGCGTACTTTTCTATGGTTGAATTATCGATAATGTAGAGAGATTATTTGACTAATGTTGTCTTGGTTGAATTATTGCCGAGACTTAGCTACTTACGAGTTCTTTCTTTGTGTGGATATGAAATCACTGAATTGCCTGAATTTTTCGAAAATTTAAAACATCTACGCTATTTGAATCTTTCCCATACTCGAATCAGATGTTTACCCGATTCTTTATGTACTCTTTATTATTTGGAAACTTTATTATTGAAATATTGTTTCAGGCTACCCTCGAAGATGGAAAATCTTGTTAACTTGCATTATCTTGATATCAGAGGTGCGGGCTCAATAGAAAGGATGCCTTTAGGAATCGGTAATCTAGCCAATTTTCAAAGATTATCCGATTTTGTTATAGGTGACGGTGATGCGCATCGTAGTGGAGAGTTGAATAAATTATCAAACATCAGAGGTGATTTTTGTCTTTCGAGGTTAGAGAATGTTAATGGTCAAGATGCAAGGGAAGCCAGGTTGAAATCAGGAATCACTAAGTTGGTTCTAAAATGGGGTGAAGACTTTGAGAAACCAACAAGGAAGAATGAAGTTGAAGAACAAGTCTTGGACTCCCTTATTCCTCCGAAAAAGCTTGAGCAACTCATGATTGAGAATTTTGGTGGCGCAAAATTCTCCACTTGGATAGCAGATTCTTCCTTGAGGAATTTGTCGTCTTTGGAGCTACGCAATTGTAAACACTGCAAATCTCTACCACCGATTGGAAGGTTGCCATCGTCAAAAGTTCTTTCAATCGGTGGTTTGGATGAGGTGAGCAAGATTGGTACTGAGTTCTTTGGAGAAAATCAATCAATTGCATTTGCATCTTTAGAGAGACTGTCTTTTTGGAGTCTACCGAAGTGGGGGGAGTTGGATGCTTGTGAAGGTGATGAACAAGTTTCCATGTTTCCTAGCTTTGGTAGTCTTTCAATCAGACACTGTCCTCAATTGGTGGGAAGGTTGCCAACTTGTCTTCAATCCTTACAGAGTCTTTTTATCTCCGAGTGCAGGAGATTGGTTGCTTCAATTTCAAGTTTTCCATCGCTGCGTGAATTAAGCATCAAAGGGTGTGAAGAATTGGTGGATGAATGCTCATCTTCTTCACCTGTGGAGGAGGTTACCTCTTTGCAAAGTGTCTCTTTCGAGCATTTCAAAGTTTAGTATTGCAGCAGAGAGAGGAATTTTGAGGTTTGCAAACTCCAACTATTTTGGAACTAATGGTTCCAATTTGCTACCAAAAGCGTTGCATGCTTTCACATCCCTTACAAGAATGCAACTAGGAAGATGTCCGAGCTTGGTTTGTTTGGAGAGAGTAACTTCCCCTACCCTAAAGGAACTGGGGATTTGGGGTTGTGATAATTTACAGTATTTGTTTGATGAGAGTATGAATATCAACACTTGTCTTCTTTAGCACTTGGAAGTGAGAAGTAGTTCATCTCTACTATGGTTATCATCAAGGGCTGATATATGCAATAGGATTCAACATCTCCAGATTTACCACTGCCCAAAGTTGAGTAGCTTTTTTCTGAATTCCAAGTTACTTGTAATGCTTAAAGAGCTATATATTGGGGAGTGTGGGGTGTTGGAATGCATACATATCTTCCGGAAAAACACATGCTTCTCTCGCTTGGGCTGCTGTCTATCTCCGATTGCCCGTTGCTCAAAGAAGAGTGCAGGAGAGTTAAAGGAAGAGAATGGTCCAAGATTTCTCACATACCAAGGGTTGAAATTGATGATAAAGATTTCATCCCGAGGGAAGTAGATTGTCCACACTCAAACCACAGGTGTGGAACCATTCTAGACATTGGGTAATTTCATAGTCTGATATCCTGCTGATAATAGTTTATGCGACTTTTGCAGGTGTTGAAGACTGTTTTCAAAAGATCGTTTCAAGAAAAGCAACGAAGAAATTCAACTGATCTGCTTTTGAGACAGAATGGTAACTCTTAAATGTTCTTTCATCATTTTTACAGGAGTGGGAGCTTTCTATCATTAAGGTATTGGATTAAAGTCCATAAGATGTATTTATAATTTGATGATGGAATTTATATATTGACCTATGTATCATTCTTGTCCAATGTTCCGGTCAGAGAGTTTTTACGAGCAAACTTATCTTTTTAGAAGATCACAACCGAAGAAATGTTCAAGAATTTCAACCTATCAATTAATTCAAGCACGCTTTCGTATCTAATATTTTATTCTTGATGATTTAATATGATTAGATCATGATTAATTTTTATATTTACGATGGTTTGATTCTATCGTAAGGAGTGTATATGGTAGCATATTGATATATCAGGTACTGGTCTGTCTCAAGTCTCCATCGATGATTGATAGATGCTAGGAAATACACTTTTATGTTCCATATTTCAAGATTGAATAAATTTTGTGGATCACCATTGCCTGCAAAAGTAGCTTACTTTGGAACTTCAGTTGTAGCAGTGGCCGTCGTCTTCTAAACAATGCTGCAAGTTTGTTGAAAACTCAACAAATCTGGTGCAAAGATGATTAGCTCGTTGTTAGCAATTAAAGACTCCACCAGGAGGAGTGATTAGAGATGACCAAGGACAACGGATTTATAGCTTCTCACGTAGTCTCTGAAGGTGTTTGGTGCTTATGGCAGAGGTATGGGCGATCTATGATGCACACAGACATGCATGGAGGTTGGAAATCAAGAAGTTAATACTGGAAACGGACTGCTTGGATGTAGCGAGATTGATTATCGATAATGTAAGAACACTGCAAGGAAACTCGATAGTGGAAGCTGTTCGAAGACTACTGCAGCAGGATTGGGAGGTAAAGGTTCAACATGTGGGAAGAGATCAAAATAAAGTAGCGGAAAGCTTAGCAAGAGCCAGCCGTGGTGAACCGATTGGGGAGACGGGAATTGAGTCACCTCGGAACTTTATTCTGGACCAGCTCCAAGAGGACATAACAGGCCATGTTTAGTTGAAACTTTGTTCTGTATTACTGTAAAAACTTCCATTGAAATTCTCTTTTGAGCTTGGGTCGGTTTTAGGGTGCTTCCTCAAGAAACTCCTTGCAGAGTAGCCAGATGCTCAAAGTTAGCTGATAATACACTGCCTGAATGGGGGAATTTCAACATTAGCCCCTTTAAAAATTCAATGTTTTGAAACTAAAGCAATTGAATTGAACCAGTTTTACGAAGTAAACAATGTCAAAATTACATGGCACGTTAAAAAAATAAAATAAACTAAGAATCTTGTGCTTCAGGAATATTAGAGGTCTAGACCTTCTGGTGGCAAATCTGATGTGAGAGGACCCAATTCCCCATCACCACTTAGAGTTAACCCACTCTGCAACATTAAACCACAAAAGCATGGGAAAGGTTAAGTTTAACCACAGAAGAGCCATGAGCCAACTACAGTTTAATAAATTATAAATCGTACCTCGGGCTGGAATCGAAGCATGTCGGCACGAGCCATCGCTTCCGCTTGAGCGATTCTCTGCCTGAATGTCTGAGCCATTTCTTCAGCCTGTTAGGAAAAAAAAAACACATATGTTGAAACATGTTTTGATAAGTGTTTTAGGATTACATATGTCTGAGCCATATTTTATCAGCACTGACCTTTTCGAAAACAAGAGTTGGATTGCGGATCATGTCTCCAGGGGTAGGCTCGAGTTTCTTCGTAGAAAGACTTACTCTGCCTCTTTCACGGTCGTGGCTCAATATCATTACCTATATATCATTTGATATGACGTTGTTTAAAATACATTTCTATGAAGCATTGAAAGAGTAAACTAGATTGGTGACAATGAGCGAGCCTTGAGTCACCATCAGAGTGTCCCCAGGCTGAAGAACGGTAGCGATGTCTGAAACACGGTCGTGACTGATCTGACTCACGTGAAGAAGGCCGTTAACTCCACCGATATCGATGAATGCACCGTAAGGTTTCAGGCTCTGAACCGTTCCGAGCACGACTGATCCAATTCCTAGCTGTACCTGACTGTCAGCCATGGCCTTGCGGTTACTAAGGACGAGTCTTGACTGTTCCTCGTCGACCTCGACAAACTTCAAAGGCAGCTCCTTATCGAGAAGCTCTTCAGCAGTAGATTTCTGATGTGACATGAAATTAGTAACACAGCATTCTAAAAATATGCAGTTGGGAGATCATAGAACAAACCAATGATATCTGCGAGAAAGGAACAAATCCCTGAAGACCCTCCACCAACGCCACTACTCCGCCCTTGTTTCCGCCAACGATCTACACGCACATATCAATCAGTCAGTTAAAGAGCATCGGACACAAATACGTATAAGCGGAAGATAGAATTCAGTTGGGCACAGAATACGTACCTTACCCTTCACAACAACATCCTCAGCTTGAAGCTGCCTGCATCTTTCCCAGGCAAGCTCATACTGAATGGACCTTAAGCTCAGGACTAAGCTATCATCCACCTCGAGTTCACCGATAATCACAAATTCGTCCCTCATACCAGGAACTATACCTGCTTCTTCGACATGTTTGATTCTGTGAATGCTGGCCTCTTGGACTGATAGATATGCTGAAGATTTTGCAGTAATGTCAACCAATGCCCCATTAGCATCTGTGCATAAAACTGTTCCTTTCACCTGAAAAACGCATGCCATTTTCCTATTGCTATTACCAAACATTCACCTTATCGACACGATCTGCTGATAATTCACATTCCAAAGCCAATAGAGATAAACTTCAATGTTGAATTAGATAAAAAAAGATGAAAAATCAAACCTTGGTTCCAATTTCAGAATCAAAGTCATACTTTTCAAGTGCAGTCTGAAAATCGTCAAGGGTGAAAGAAACACCTTCCATAGGAGCAGTACGACAGCGTTCGTAGGCATCCTCGAACACCTGCTTGAGTTCAAGCCTGGCTTTGGTCTGGGCATCAGCAACGGCTGAAACAATGGGAAAAGCAAAAGCACTCACTTTCCGGGTTTTCTTTGGTTTCACCGAAAAACGAGAAGATGAGAGTGGTGAACATCTTAGGCCTTCGAACTGTTGAGCCAAGACGCCATTGTTTCTGCTCTGTTCTGTTGTGGTGGATGATAAAATTAAGTAGTTCTATGATAAGGTAAAGAAAGAGATTTTTGAATGTTGGGTACCCCACCAAATCTAGGGTCCAAACTAAGCCTTGAAATGTCATCTATAAATTTTAGCCACTTGCAAAAAAGTTTAAATTATCTTCTTCACGTTTGCATATGCCCACATAGGCTACTAGCATCATGAAACTGAAGCATAAATGCACCTGCTTTGATTTTGAATCCAACCATATAATATATATACATATAACAATTTCAACTAAAACCTATCTTACAATTGATTTCAACAGAAAACACTGATAATACACCATCTAGCAAAAAACAAACACATTTCTTTATTTAATTTCAATATTGAAGTGCAAAACAACAAAGAATACACCGTTTTCCCACTATTTAATTTCAGAAACGAAATTGAAAGCACCTCCCACACCCACAAAAACTAAAACACTGTCTGTCTGTATGTCAATATATTTATCTCTGGATTGGAAACCAGCTTAAAGGGGGGTGGGGTGATAAATCGCAAAAGCTGACCTGAACAAGTATTTTGTTTAACCATCCTTCAACAATTCAGTATGATGATACACTCAGTTTTACAACAGTCAAGACTGCACCATAACTACCACGTTCGCAGCATGTTCCAGCCGAAAAAATAAGCACCGGTTAGTCATTAGCCTTCCCACGGTTACTGCCCATTTTTGAAGAATTACCTCCTTCAGCCTGTAGGGTCTTGGGATTAAGAGGAATAGTACCGACAGTTAGAAAACCACATGATTCGGTAAAACCATTGACTTTCACTGGCATGGATCCTACTGTCACCATCTCTACAGCATCGACGTTTGTTGAAAGAACTACAGCATCTACAGAGGGCTTCGACTCATCCTGCTTTGGATTTATTGAGAACGAACCAATCTTTAATGTAGATGCGTTGTTGTTGGCGTTGACTGAAGTTTGCCCTATGTTTTCATTCATAGTTCTTGCATTGGTCATATCAGAATCTGAAGAAACCTGCTGACTAGATGAAGGAACAGTTCTCTTCAACATGTCAGAATCACTTCGCTTAGTAGCTTTCTCATTGTCATTCAGATGTAGTTCAAAATTTAGCCTATTGGCAACATCCAATGTTGGTGCTAGGACTGGATTCTCAAAGTTTTTCATTAGTAGCCTGGCTTTCTCTTCTTGCATGATTCGCTGACGATTTTCATAGTACATGAAGTCATCAAGTAAAGAAGTCTTCATTGAATGATTTTTGAATATTTTCAGCATCTCCATACCTTGCTTGTACATTATCTGCAGTTGAGGAGACATTTTATACGACAAAATAACATGCAGATCTTATCTTATCAAGATTATTATTCAGGAGCAAGTATATCAAAATTCACAAGCCCAGATTGCCATGTTAGGACTCGGGAGAAATAATCTTCTAAAAAGTGGTGAAATAGTTTCCATGTTCATAGTTTCCCTTCAATTATAAAAAAACTAAACCTCTGTACATACCTCTTGTGTATCCCTGCTATTGGTCACTGGCTTGTTTTCATTGTTCTCTAATATGATGTGTCTAAAGTGGCTATTTGGAACATCTTTAATGATGTGCCACTTGACAGGGAAGCTTCCGCTCCACTTATCTTGCTGCCAAAAGTCCATATCCTTCTGGAAGTCAACTGAGCCAATCATCTCCGCCACACCACAGAATTGTCCACTGGCATTAACCTGTGTGTACAAAGTACCACATCGGAGTGGTTAAAGAACATCAGAAATTACATAACCACTTCCATTTTAAAAAAAATCTCAGAATAGTCTAAATCAATTAAAGTCCCTTCGTACCAAAACCAGTATAGAACTCACCGAAAAGAACAGGAAGACTGGACACCCACTAGGTTCCCCTGAAGCTATTTTTTGTGCATCTTCAAAAGCACTGCCCAGTTTCTTGTTCCCATGGGGTGTAGATGACCAAACATTGTATTTGATGCTTTTGTGTACATCATCCTCACTATAAGATTTTACTACAAAGAACTTTGCATCAACATAGTCAATTGGAAAATCATCCTTGTTATATTGGTCAGTACAGATAAAGATGTTCCCTTCAGCATCAGTATTTCCTGCTTTAGCTGTGTAGGCTTTAACCGTGAATTCATTTTTTAATCTGTTGGTTCTAGGGCCTCGATTTTGTTCTCCCAATGTATCTGGGAAACCATGTGCATCATTCTGAACCCTGCCAACATGGACATTAGATCGAATCTTATCCAGTGCACCACGTCCAGTAGCGGTTGATCCATAGTTTGGAAAGGTATTACCAACAGGAAGATCCACTTGTAATTGATTACGATGAGATTGAAATTTCCCACCAGGAATATTGCCAGTAGACTGAACGGAACCAGAAGCAATTCTACCCTACAAAGATAATTACTGGATAAGAACCTTCAAATATGGGTGATGTAAAGCCATTGCATTTCCATAAAAAAATTCAAGAAAGTCCAATTCAATATAAAATTAAACTAGAAACTATGCAACGCACCTGATGAGCGTGTGCTGGTGTTGGACGAGAACTATCTGGAAATTTTCCATGGACTGCAGAATGCCTACTTGCCCCATCCAATACCCTGGTCAAGGAATCAGCCTGATTTGGAGAAGACTTTGAAGAGTTCCTAGAAAAAGCTGCAGATGCTGAAGCAGGGTTATGTTTAGCTCCCCTTCCATCAGGTCTATTAGCGACTGATGCACGAGAATCAAGCAAATATTCTGTTGAACTATTTGGAATTCCATCTGGTTGAATGATGACAGGAACATAAGCAGTCGGTGATGCAGGATTTGGAAAAGGAGGAATAGGGTAATATTGCTGTGCCCCTAAAAATGGGCTATCACCCATTACAGCACTAGACATGTAAGGATTGTATGGGTTGTATGGAGACTGTGCATATCCATAGCTAGGTGTGTAATATACATAAGGCAAACTTTCGGTTTGGGCACCCTGAGAAAGAGAAAGCAGACACTTAGCAAATTTTGGAATGATAAATCATTAAGAAGAAACATGTCTTGTATACATGTCTGACTGTTCAAATTTATCAATTATATCTAAAAAGATAAGTTTACCCACCGCAAATTGGACATCTGCACCATCAGCACTAAAAATGCTCTGGTGGTCCTCCCATTCAACAGGTGATTCAAAACCTGTCGAAATGCATCAACAGTATAAACCTGAGGTTCTATAAATATCAGTCATGAACATTAAGCCAAAGGCGATTAAATTACCAGTAAAATAATAGCCAACGTTGGTTGCAGTACGATAGTACATTGATCCTTGATCAATCACAAACTCAGGGGCTCCTTCCGGGTACATAGCTTCTTCTTGTTAAGAAAGTGAGACTTTTACTTTGTGGGTTTCAGTGGAGAAACTTGGATCTGAAACTCAATACACCAAATGTCATTCATAAATCATAATTCACATCTACAGGCATAACAAGAATATATAAGCCGCTCAAGCAAACAATCAAACAAGAATTTTAAACTGATTAAAGATTCTTAATCCTAAATTCCAAAAAATTATACATTAACAGTGAACAGCAGAAATTATACGCATCCACTGATATTCCAGATCAACCTTTACAATGGAAGTTTACAGGTCTTCAAACAAAGGGTAGGAAAGATAGAAATTTTACCGGAAAAATCAAATAATTAAGCCATGGTTGACCTCGAAAAATGCTCCGGAGAAAATTCCCGCAAATTGTAGAGAGAACAGGGGTTCTTTTGCAACATTTTCTTCGAAGAGTGCCCTAACCCTGTAATAAACAACAGGATCAAATAAAATAGTATATGGAAAATACAATAAAATAAAGGGTGTAATTGGAGATTAAAAGGATTAATAAGTAATGGTAAATCATTTAATATAATACATATATTTTAATTTTGACAAAATATTTCAACTTGATCCCTTGGTCCAAATAAATTTTAAAATAAGATGTTTTTTTTTAATTTGATAGTAAAATCAGATCCCATATTTTAATCTTTAATATAATTTAAGCTGAAATATCACGTTGAAAAATAATATAAACTCAAAAAATCATAAGGACCAAGTTAAAAAATTATTAAATTTAGAGATTAAAGTTTACTTTATATATTTAGAAAACAATATACAACATGATTCAATGGAATTAAATTATATGCTCTCAACTACATAAAATGTTTTTTTAATGGAAGACCGAATTAAACAATTAAGGCAAAAATGCAACAAAGATCCATGTATTTTTTTAAAAAACTAATGTGACCCTCATATTATTTTTTCTCTCAATATGGCCCTCCAACTTAGAAAATAAACTCAACGTGACACTTTGTCCAACATTTTTCGCCGTTAACCGTTACGGTGCTGACGTGGAGTTCACTATATTAACGTGACGATCCATAGTGTTGGTGTGTCAGTCTACAATGGTTGATAACGTGCCGGATTACATGACAAGTCGGCTAAATTGATAACTCAAACATGAAAAATAAACTACCACATCAGCATTTTGGACCACATGTCAGCACTGTAATGATCAACGACGTTTTTACGTTGGTCAAAGGGTCAGATTAGGTTTATTTTCTAAGTTAGAGGACACGTTGAGAGAAAAAATAATACGATAGTCATATTAATTCCTTTAAAAAATACAAGGACATTTGATGTATTTTTGCCAACAATTAATTTATTATAGTTATTGTATCAAATAAGTTATTAATCCCAAGAGGAAAAGGCAATTAATTTGATTGATTTGGTGTTGGTTAATAAGGCAGTCCAAATCCATTCAAATCATATATTAAACATATAATAAGGCATGCGTGTGACAGTCCATTCAATCAATTTTCTCCCCTAAACATTAAAATAATAAAAAAAAGAGTTTGTTTGCCGACACTTCTATGGTAAATATATAATTTGATTTTATTAAATTTCGATTTTATTATTATTTGTGTATCATAAAAATAATAATTGAATTAACGAGAAAATACGACAAAAGATGCAAATCAAACTGAATTAACGATAAATTAAATTACACATAATCCGTATAGACATGTACAGAAAAATCTACGGCAATGGTGTCTCAGGACAATGTTTTTTTTTTCCGGACAAAGAGCAACAAGAAGTCATATAAGTGAACTAACGACGTAAACCGAACCGAATCGAACCAAATTAACGAGAAAACAAACTACGCATACTCCGTATATAGTGTATGGAAAAATCTACGGTGATGGCGTCTCGTGACTGTTATTTCCGGACATGAACAAATGTTATCTACGATCCGCAGTCGATCCCGAAAAGTATTCCTCGGTACCCTGCATATGTTGCATGTTTTCCATCTCTCAACTATAGGCAATTACAAGGTATCAATCAGAATTTCGTCAAGGATGATGGTAGCTCCTTGTTCACCCTTCTCGGCTTCTAAAACCATTTACGAGTCCCAGTCTAGGACCTTCGATCCTGGTTAGCGTCTGAGTTAACTGCCAGTGATTAGCGCGTTATCGTAAGCGAAGTATCGGAATCAAACCTCTCGAGGAAGGGGATGACCCTCTGATTCAAGCATGCGAACAACCTGACTCATCTTTGGTCTTATATCTGCATCTGGGTCGACACATCTCAAAGCAGTCAACAATGCTCGTTTGAGAGCACTAGTTTGCGGTCTAGTCTCTAAGTTAGGATCCACTACTTCCTCGGAACGTCTGAGTTGAACCATCATCTTTAGCCATTCAACCATATGTACCTGAGAAATAACCTCGCAACAGGTTTAATGACTGAAACATCTCATAATAACAAATAACTCCTTGGTACAAATGACACTCGAAGTGCTCTCCCGTACCTCTGGGCCAGGGCGACCGTAATCTACCGGGTAAACGAACCAGTAATTGCTTTAGCATCTTTCTCTAAATGATTAAACGAACCAGACTGGCCACTGTTATCTTCATTATTGACGTTAAACTGAACCTTCTCCAAATCTGTGTCAGTAAATTTATCATTAATGGCTGTCATACCACCATTGTTTGCTGAAACCTGATCAACACTCGTCTTTTTAATCACCTCTGCAACAGCTTGTAATACAGGAAGAATGTCATTAGCTCTTCGGGTTTTCTTCCGAAAACTAAGCCATAGAGATATGCCCATGATAACTAAAAAGAGCACCACTAAGCTAATTGCAATCAACAGCCACAACTACAAACTTCTGTTCAGATCAGATGCCATTTTAACCAACACCAAGAAGCCCGCAAAAGGTTTCAACTAAGACAATTTAAAACCACAATCTGCATCTAACAATCAAAATTGTCTAAACATTGCATTTATTTGAAATCTGAATCGACTTTAGGGTAAAAAGACTAAATCCAATTATCATAACTCATAAGAGCATATTGTGCTGATACTCAACGGAGACTCGGGGCACCTGTTGAAGCTGCTAAAGAGTGGAAATCATGCCGCTATAGAACCGAACCGATGCACGCATCATGTCCGCTTCTGGCGAACCAGGTATGATATAGTGAATCCAAGAGGAACCCTTAGCTCCCTTTAGAGCTGGGAGACAAAACGTGCACCGGTTCTTCACCCAATGAAGACGATACCTTCACGATCACGATATTCTTTAACAGGCAGCATAACTCAAAATTCACAGTAAACAAGTGCAGCAGGGACACAGAGCAAGCATTAAAAACATAAGGAGCAACATACTGATAGGAACAATCAGACCCTGAACCAAAATCAAGTTTCCAAAAAGCACCCAACGACCCTTCATCCACATAGAGAAACTAAAAGAAGATCATAGAAAACCCATAACATTTTCATATGAAAAAGTAAACATCAAAATCAAATAGAAATGGGAATAAGTAAACATCAAAATCAAATAGAAATGGGAATCAGAATTCCAACACATACTCTCTACATTTAAACAAATCATCACACATAAAGAATCATTCAGACAACCATATATCAAATTCTAAACCCTTCTAGTCCTAATAAGGGCAAAAAGTGACCAAATTCTATTACCGAAAAATCATGTCACAAGATACATCAGATGCAATGATATCGGGACAAACCGAGTCGAAGAACAAAGAACTACCCGATCATAGTGTCCAGGTAGCCAAAGTATGTGCTATCTTGTTGCACTCGTGTCGTACGAACTGAATTACAAACGATGCATTACAGTCGAACAAATTTCGGGCTTCCTGTAACTGAAATCTTGTAGTGAAAACATCAAGTGATCTATCCCGGATCTTATTCCCCACCATAACAGAATCAGACTCAAATATTACATTCGTCCATTGATTCTCGATAGCAAAACGCAAACCAGACACTACTTCGACGATCTCAACTTCCCCACAAGATGACGCTGAGACCGCCATACCCCTAAGTAACCCAACAGCATCACGAGCTATTTTACTCACTGTCATCATTCGTCGCTGCACTAAATGATCACTTTTCCCTTAATTATATACTGTCATTAGCTTAGGCTAGTGTAGTAAATGCACTAAATTCCTTAAATTAATTAATAATTGGGTAAATACAAAAATGGTCCTTCAACTTTAGGATAATGATTTATTGAATTTTTTGACGATTAAAAGTTACAAAATGGTCCATCGACAATAAGAAGTTGATTTGTTGAGTCTCACGACTATTGAAAGTTACAAAATGATCATCTGACTATTCATTATGTTCCAAACCCGTCATTTTTCATCAAATTTTTTTTACGGTAGTATGAGTTGTACGCTAACCTACTGACTGAGATATGATAAAATATGATCTCATAATCTCAAATGACTATCATATCTCAGTCAACATGTTAATGTTAAGCTCAGACAATCGCTAATTTTTCAAGGAAAAATGACGAGTTTGAAACATATGAATAGTCAATTGATCATTTTGTAACTTTTAATAGTCGAGAGACTCAACAAAGCAACTTCTTATTATCGATGGATCATTTTGTAACTTTTAATCGTCAAGATATTCAAATGACTCAATAAAATAGTATGTTATAATTGGGGATCATTTGTATACTTTACCCTTAATAATTATATAGGCCTACGTGCCAGATTCCTTCTTATATTACTAACAAACAGACAGGATTGCCATAAAAATCATATTACTATTATTAGGTTTAATTTCGAATTCAATCCCTCTATTTTACGAGTGGGGCGGTTTTTTATGTAATCGAACCCAACTCAACCCAACTGAAGTGTATTTTGACCTCAAACTATTTAAGAAAAAATTCAATCCGACTTCGAAATTTATATATGTAGTTAATTGTACCATATAGTCTCAAAGTATGACTCTTATTTTAAATCGGTATCTAAACTTTCAAATATTTCAATTTCATTCTTAAATTGTGATTATCATTCTAAATTAGTCCTCAAATTTTTAAACATTTCAATTGCATCACCAAACTATGACATTCATTATAAATTAGTCCCTAAACTTTTGAACATTCCAATTTTAACCCAAATTGTACGTATATGCTAATCACATCCATTGTTAATAAAATTGTTAGGTCAGGTTATATTATTATATGTCTGAAAAAAAACAAAATTCAAGTTAAATTATGCTTGAAACTAATGTCATATTTGGATGAATTTAGGGATAAATATATATAATTTGTCTCCAAAGGAAAACCCAACTGAACTCGAGGGAGGAAGTTCCAATCTCAAAAATATACAATATTTATAAATACATGTTATACACAAAATAATCCTTCAACTATAGAATGTTGAGTCCCTCGACTATTAAGAGTTACAAACTAGTTACCTGACTATTCATTATGGTCAAAATTCGTCATTTTCCGTTAACAAGTTGACGATTGTTTAAGTTGGATGTGAATATGATAACTAAGATATGATAGTCGTTTGAAATTATGGATTAGATTTTAGGGTAAACTATAAATTTAGTACCTAAACTATAAGTTTTTATTCGTTTTGGTTCCTAAACGTTCACATTTTTCAAAATCATACCTAATTCATAGTTTTTGTTTCATTTTAGTACCCCACTGTTAAAATTTTAATGTATTTAATATCTAAACTATCCGTTTTGGTCGTTTTAGTACCTAAATTTTCATTTTTTTCCAAACTTAACGTTAAATGTTGAACAGGGGTACGAAAATGAAATAAAAAAAAACTTTAGGTATTAAAACTGACCAAAATTGATAGTTTGGACACTAAATTTGTAATTTACCCTAGATTTTATCAAATCACAGTTAATATATTAACGTTTATCTCAGAATATTGTTAATTTTTTAAAGAAAAAAGATGAATTTAAAGCATATTGAATAGTTAAATAATTATTTTGTAACTTTTAATAGTCAATAAACTTGATAAAATAATATTTTAAATTAAAAATTATATTTTAAATTTTAATAATATAAACTTAATAAAATAACATCTTACAGTCGAAATTTTTCGGGGGAGGGAAAGTTGTAAGTAGGAGTATTAGACAATAGTCTCATAGTAACCGTGCTAATTATAATACTTTAATGGAATAGAGAATTACTAAAATCAATCGTACCTTCTTTGCCTAAGGTTATCACCTGTCTCCATCTCCATCTGAATCTGATCTGCCAAATTTCCCCAGATTTACATCTCCCAGTAACTACTTCCTCTGATTTTCCTTAATATTACTGATATTCGTATAAACTTATTAATACACCAAAAGCAGATCTCTCTGCCTTCCGTTTTCCATTTCGATTTCCCTCTTTTTTACTCGTCTTTTTTATATCGTTAAGTCGTCAATTAGGTGAGCTTTCCTTCTCGAATTTCTGATTTGCACACATTATTTGTCCTAGTAATCATGAATGCTGTGTAAATGCATCTGCATTTTTAACAAAGATTTTTCATTTTCAGTTGTAAGAATTGGTTTCGAGGACGCATCGAACAAGACAATTTCAGTGTTTTCTCATTTGGGGAAAAAAGAAATTTTACTGGTAAGTGGTAAGTACTCTTCTGATTTCTGGTTTCCCCATCGGAGAGAGGATTTTTTTAAGTTTTGATTTCTCTGTGTGATAATAAGTGCTGAAATGATGGATGGTTTGCTGATAATGTAGAGGTTTTTCTATTGTTTTTGTTTTTTATCGATTTTTTTTCTTGATAGCAGTCTGGGTTTCGATAATTTTGTTATAGGGAAGAAAAATGATAAACAAGGCGCTTGTATTGACGTATTTCTACCTATTGATCTACATTTTGCTTTCTTCCGGCGTTATATTGTATAACAAGGTAACTCCCCCTTTTTTTCATAGTGTGTAAACTGTACTGTATTGTGTTGCTCTTATCTCCCTTTACAATCTCATGCAACAAAAGTCCATGACTGATCAAGCTTTATTGATTGTAAATAGTTAGGTTTAGGGTACAACTAAAGCAAGGAATGCTTTTTTTTTTATCCGTTTCATTTGGGCTAGGAACTAAACGCTCCTTGATGGAAATCATTCTCTTCGTTTTTGTGTCATTTTATTTTGTTGTTGCAGTGGGTTCTGTCTCCCAAATACTTCAACTTTCCGTTTCCTATAACATTGACAATGATTCACATGGCGTTCTCCGGAACTGTTGCTTTTTTTCTTATCCGTGTTTTCAAGGTACTACTGATTCCATCTATTCTCCGTTTTCATCTAGTATTGCTAGCTATTGAATGTCTTCATGCTTAACTGTTGACTGCAAAACAAGATAGTCACATCTCACCATTATATGCAACTAGCTCTAGGAATGCCAAGTTTTTTCATGATAAAATGTGTTTTTGATTACATTGGCCTCATTCCAGAAGTTAGTGGTCCTTTATAAGCTGAAACTAAAGATCCATTGGTTTTTTTGTTGTGTATTTTGCCTGCAGAAGCAAAATATAAATTTGAGAGCACTATTATCATGTTTCTATGCAAGCTTCATCTTCCATTTTTTGCCTAGCTTTGTAATGCATTTTTCTCTCCCTCAATCTCGTCATGCAGGTTGTAGCTCCTGTTAAAATGACATTTGAAATGTAAGTGCTTTTCTTTATCTAAAATTGCTGTTATTATTCTCGATTACTGCTTAGCTTCAGGATTTATGTTCTCCTTCATAAACAAATGGTCTCGGTTTTGCAGATATGCAACATGTGTAGTACCTATTAGTGCCTTCTTTGCATCAAGTCTTTGGTAAGCACTTAATTGTGGTATGACTGAAATTCTTGTTTGGTTGTGATGTAATGTTTTCCTTATTAAGATAGTGTGCCGTGTAATGAGTTACTTCTGTCAGCAAAAAGTATAAGCTTACTGCTTGAAAACCCTGCTGAGTGCTGAGAATTACTTGTTAACTTGTTGCATGTTTCTGACTCTTTTTTGTTTTAAGTATAATATTGTACCTCAATGGATCTGTCTGCTTTGATCTCCTACTAGTTGTCAAGGAATTACTGCACCCCAGTTCCTGGGTTGTATTGAGTTTGTGAAAATTCAGAATTAACTTTGAATCCAATAAACCTAGATGATCGGTTTTAAGCTCAAATCAAGTATAGATGCAGTAGCAGTAACCTTCTCTGCATAATGAAGTTTCTTCACCAAGCAGGATCTTAAGTTGTTCTATTACTTTCATTTGTCTTGCTCCCTGTTTTTATCTCTTAATGTCTGGCCCTGAAATTGGTTCTGATAGTACTAATTTTCTCTTGTTATACTTGCGTTTAAGCTGTTGAGTTGCCAAAAGGCTTCTGCTATTGGCAGCAAATTGCTTATGATATAGAGCTTGTTATGTACTAACTGTGCAGAATCTTGACAACTTTGTTTGATATTACTCCCCTTCTGTTGATATTGTTTTGCATATTCTAAGCATCATCATTCTTTTGTTGTCAATACAGGTTTGGTAACACTGCCTATTTGCATATATCTGTGGCTTTTATCCAGATGCTCAAAGCTCTAAGTATGTGGAAAAAAAAGTGCATTATTTAATTACATCGCACAAAAGCACTCTATAATTCTAATGGCTGGCTGTTTGTGTTTGCCATGTTACAGTGCCAGTGGCAACATTTTTCATGGGTGTTATGTGTGGCACTGATAAACCAAGGTGCGATGTGTTCTTAAACATGGTGCTGGTCAGCGTTGGAGTTGTCATTTCCTCATATGGGGAAATTCATTTTAATATAGTTGGCACAGTGTATCAGGTCACGGGCATCCTAGCAGAAGCTCTAAGGCTGGTTTTAACTCAAGTCCTCCTGCAAAAGAAGGGCCTGAGTCTAAATCCAATTACCAGCTTATACTACATCGCACCCTGCAGGTACCAGTTTGGTATTACTTTTAAAAAGTGATTTAAAAAGTGCTGTAAAAAATTACTTTTAAAAGTGTTTTTGAAAAGTGCAGTTTAAAATTTAACTGTTTGGGATTGCTCTTAAAAGTGATTTTGAAAATATAAAATGTCCATTTTAGACATTATATTATAAATTGAAAATATAGTATTTAACGTTAAAGATATAATTTCACTCCAAAGGGATTTTCCACAGCAAAAGCTAGAATTTGAGCTTTTGAGGTTAGGTTGAAAATAACTTTTTCAATCATGATTTTAATTCAATTTTTGGGTGTTTAGCATTGCTTATGGGGTGGAAATCACTTTTCCATTGCCAGAAGCATTCCCAAACTGGCCTAATTTTGTAATAATTTTTAGTGTCTGCAACTCATACTTCTTTCAAAAGACTGGGTTTTATCAGGACCGACATTCCTTATATATAACCGTTATTGTTGATTTCTTGGCAGTTTTGTGTTTCTTTTTGTGCCTTGGTGCTTACTGGAGAAGCCTGCGATGGAAGTTTCACAGATACAATTCAATTTCTGGATCTTCTTCTCCAATGCTCTTTGTGCTTTAGCTCTGAACTTATCCATATTCTTAGTTATCGGAAGAACCGGAGCTGTCACCGTCAGGGTTGCTGGTGTTCTAAAAGACTGGATACTGATTGCCCTTTCAACTGTTGTTTTCCCCGAGTCTACAATAACAGGGCTTAATATAATTGGTTATGCCATCGGTACTTCTATACTCTGAATCATAAACATTACATATTTTGTTCTGTATTTGAGAAATTAAATTTGATGCAAACTCCTTTTGTTCTCTCTTTTTCTCTTCAGCTCTCTGCGGTGTTGTCACGTATAACTACATAAAGGTTAAGGATGGTCGTGCTCCTCAGCTTCCTTCGGATAATATTCAGGAGAGATTAACAAAGGTCAGTCTTCTTGAATCCCAATAGTCCTTGACAGTCGACACCATTTTCATGTCCTAATGTTTAATTATTTGGGCTCGAATACTAGCAAATAAACGTGTGGCTTCTCACGTTGATGACCTTATTTTCTCTTGTTAATATAGGATTGGAAGTCTGAGAGGAAGTCATCGAACATATTCATCCCGAATATAAGCAATGACACAAATGGAGGAAGCAACTTCAATAGCTCTGAATTGAACGACGAAGAAGCGCCTCTAATTTCATCATCAAGGCTATCTCATATAGGGCGCCAACTCAGCAATTCTAGCTCTCAACGCTCATAGAGACTAGAGATCATACAAATCGGACGAAGAAAGAATTGCAGAAAAAAAAGAAGAAGAGCCAACTCACATGGTCCCCGCCTTCTAAGTTGGAGGTAAGGAAGATTAATTCTTTTGAAAGGGATTTCATTGGTTGATGTTTCATAGTTTAAAAAAAAGCGAAGAGCGATGTTATTGTAATTACTCTCGATTTGATTTTGTATCCATGCTATGCATGCGAAGATTATCGCAATCTCGGGAATTGTGAAACTTAGGTGATAACTTATGATAGGGGACGAGGTTACCTTAATATATACCAGCCAAGTGACTATTTATGTGGATAGGCTTGCATTGCATTCATTGACCTCTATTTGCTCGCCCAGACTATGAGACTGAACCATTTTTTTGGGTTCTTAGATGTTGCATTATATTTATTATCATGTTCATTATGTTGATGCTAAATTCTCTTTTTCTCTCTTGATTCCTCTTTTAATTTCATTACATATTTTGAAAGTTCGTTTGTCCAACCCAGAACTTACATATTTGATCCCATTGCATAATCAGATGAGACCGGTTAGACCGAAAAACCACCACTCCGATCTACTCGAACATAAGCACAAACCGCAGCCGTTATCGTGGTCTCTCGGGTGCTGGAGGTGCCAATCCCGGAATGTTTCGTATATCTTTGTTCATCGTGTTGACGATGTGAAAATTTCCAGATCGCAACATTAAGCAAAGGCAAGAAAATTGGACAAAAAGATATTTACCTTTATAATTTGATCCTAAAATTACAAAAAAAAAAATCTTATTTCTCTAATTATTTTCCCCTCTAAAATAGCCACAAAAAGGTATTTACCTTTATAATTTGATCCTAAAATTTGATCCTAAAATTACAAAAAAAAAACTTCTCTAATTATTTTCCCCTCTAAAATAGCCACAAGTTCATGGTAGTTTTATTATACGGTAATCTAATATAAGGCTAAGGAAATGCGTTATCGGAAATGTTAATATTTATTTAATATTTTCGACAGAACGTTGCTTAAAATGTTATTTTCTACCGGAAATATTAATTTTGTTACCTAAAAATGAATATTTTCGATTGAAAAAAATAATATTTTAGGTAGCGTTTTACTAAAAATGTTAAAAAAATTAACATTTTTGATAGCGTTTTTTCTTAACCTTATATTAAATTGTATTTTCTTAGACATCCCAAATACACCATTTAAGAAAATAATATAAAAGGACCCACATCAATTATTCTTTTATCGACGTCATCAACTTGTTAATATCCAAATCCACAAACTTTAACTAATAAAAAATACGATTAATTATTGTAATAATATTATAGAAAATAATATTCAATATTTTATAATTAAAATCAAATAAATATTTTATTATTTGCCATCTGAAATTCTTATTCAAAACTCAATGAAGTAAGAGTAAAGTTACAAATTTTGATTAAGGATAGGACTGATTACACAATTCCACATGTTTATTGTTATCCAATTAAAATCAATTCCTAGAATTAAACTGTCGTCATCTATATTTTAAAATGATATTTAAATTAGCGTAAACTGCAGTTATGGTCATTAAAATTTGGATATATTTTATTTTGATCACTAAAATTATTAACAAATAACAAAATAGTCCCTAAAACATTAACTCTCATTAAATTAATAATGTCATATATTAATAATAACAATAACTAATATCTAATTTAATCATAAACTGTAAAAATATATCAATTTAATATTTAAAAAAATTCTTTTAACTCTTTTCACCCGTCATATCACCAAATCTTCATCACTCAACCATGTACCATCACCAAAAATTCTTTAGTTTTAGTTTGAGTATCATTTTAAGATGCAATACTAAAAAATTCCATACTACAAATGTCATTTAAGTAAGAACAAGTCATCCACTTTATAACTTTTAATATTCATTGTCGAAAGGTTGAGAGTTATATATGAACAGATATTGTCTTGTACTTACTGGAGATTAATAAAAAAAATTGATTTTTTAATTATATTTTAAAGGTAAAATTAGATTTTAACAATTCTGGTTAACATACCACATCATCAATTTAATGAGAGTTAACATTTGAGTGATATTTTGATGAGCAAAACATAAATGTTAAAATTTTACTAACCAAAATAGAAGCACAACCAAACTTCAATGACAATGACTGTATTTAAGGAAAATATTCCTAAGAAATATGTGGGTGTTAAGCCACATGAAGGAAATCATCAAAATCAACGCCGTCTCAATCATTATTATTTTTTGTCCGCACATAACCATTAGAAACCATGGTTTAATTATAAATGTTATCCCTCTATTTTACGAAAATTAAAATATTAGCCTATTTGTTTTATTTTGTTTGAATTGGGTCTTTTAACTATAAAAAATATAAATTAATCCAATTATTAGTATATACGTAAAGTTAAACAGCTAATTTATTATATATATATACTTATGAAGTACTATTTTTTGCTAATTTCATGCATGATGCATATAAATTGTTTTTTTACCCTTCTAGTTTCAAGGCTTTACCTGACTAATTTGGACCGAATCGGGTCGCACACTTGGTTTTGATGGGTGAGTTTCCCAGCATGAATTTTCTGCACACACAAGGAATCGATCTCGAAATCTTGCTTAAGCGATATGAAACTGCTTACCACTTGAACAATCTCTTATTGGTGATGCATATAAAAATGTTTGAACTATTGAATTTTACGTCAATGATTTAATTTACATATGATTTGACATAGTTTATATAATTTTGTAACTAAATATTTGGTAAAAAGACATTAGAGGTTTCTGTATTTTAAAAAAGTAAATATTTCCTCGTATTATTTTTTCTTTCAATGTGACTTTTCAACTCAGAAAATAAGTTCAATGCGACTATTTGATCAATATTTTTTGTCGTTAAGCATTACGGTACTGACGTAACAGTTCACGGTGCTGACATGATAGTTTACAATATTGACGTGACAGTCCACGGTGATTGATAACGTAACAAATAACATGACATATGAACTAAATTGATATTTGAAATATGACAAATAGATTGTCACGTTAGTATTGCGGACTGTCACGTTAACATCGTGAACTACCACGTCAACACCGTAATTGGCAAACGACGAAAAATATTGATTAAATGACCACATTAGATTTATTTTATGAGTTGGAAGATTATATTAAAAGAGAAAATAATACGAATACTATATTAATCTTTTAAAAATACAGGGACCTTTATGTTTTTAAAAAAAATGTTTTTTTATTAAAAAATGAAAATTCTTATCGAATCTAAACGTGTGAACGCTTATGCAAGCAAGACCCGACAGCCAAACGATTCCATCATATTGCGACGAAATATACGAATTGGAAACAAAAGCACAGGGACCAATTACAAAATTTGACACGTTTCTTGCACATTGATATTATCCAATTAAAATCGATTTAAATTTCAATTTTCCCATTTTTTTATCCCTTTTCCTTTTTGGCGTAATCTTTTCAATAATCTCCAACAGTTTCTCTTTCCTATGTTAATTTCAATTCCCTTTACAAAGTTTCTAGAATCGTGTGTTGCTTGCCGCCACCTGGTCGAAGTTCTTAGCTGAATTGTGACGGTGGTGGGGCGTGTTTTCGACTACGGCGGTGATGACGGCGAGGAAGGTGACGGAATCGTTCTCCAAGAGCTTAATAGAGGAAGTACACAAATGGGGCTGCATGAAGCAGACCGGGGTGGGCTTGAGGTACATGATGGAGTTTGGGTCTAAGCCCACCGAGCGGAATTTGTTGATTTCGGGTCAGTTTCTCCACAAGGAGCTCCCCATTAGAATTGCTCGGAGAGCAATTGAGCTCGAGAGCCTCCCTTATGGCCTTTCCGAGAAGCCTGCTGTTTTGAAGGTTGCTTCTTGGTTTTGTTTTTTTAGTTTTCAAGTTCATTTCTTTGTCGGGGGTGCTGCTATTTCTGCGACACGCACACTAACTGCTTGATTTTTGGTGCCAAAGGGTTTTTTATTTGTTGTTTTGCCGAAATGGGTATTTATCACAACTTCAACTTGTCTGGTTTTTCTTTTACCCTTTTTCTCTCTCCTTTTTATCCTATGAATATGTGATTTCTGCATACTGGGTCTTTACATTGGATTAAATAATTGCTATTAATTATTTATTACTGTACATGTAGTCTTGTAGATTCTTCCTGTCGCTGCCTTGTGATTTTCGAGTTATTTGTTGCTTGGCTTTGCCTTTTCTGCTCATTGTTCACCTTTTTGCACTTTAATGGAACCATAGAGGAATTCTTTAGACCCTTATTTTATCTTTTCAGGCCATGGTTACTTTAGAAAGACATGTTGCTTGAACATTATTTAGTGCACAACATTCTGATTTCATTTGCTTTTGACAAGCTCCCATTTTTAAAGCTACAGGGTATAATTTTAGCGTAATTTTACATAGAATCCGAGAATTAGTTTGCTTTTTCATCTACTTCTCATTACATTGTTGAATCTAAAAATTGTTTACAAGATAATGGATTAATTTTGAAATTTTGATGACCTGGACTGGGGTAATAACTCATTTATTTTAACTTGTCTTTTGTTCTTAGGTGCGAGACTGGTATTTGGATTCCTTTCGTGACCTGAGAGCGTTTCCCGATATCAAGGATACGAATGATGAGAAGGAATTTACAAAGATGATCAAGGCTATCAAGGTTAGACACAACAATGTGGTTCCTATGATGGCTTTGGGGGTTCAACAGTTGAAGAAAGGCATGGATCCAAAGATTGTTTACGAGGATCTTGACGAGATTCATCAGTTTCTAGATAGATTTTACATGTCAAGAATTGGAATTCGTATGCTTATTGGTTAGTTTCAACTTTGTTTTCTTTGTTACAGTTTCTTGAAGATTGGTTTAAACACTGTGTGCATGTTTAAATTATGGTGAAACCAGGGCAGCATGTGGAGTTGCATAACCCTAATCCTCCTCCACATTGTGTGGGCTATATACATACAAAAATGTCTCCAGTGGAGGTGGCTCAAAATGCTAGCGAGGATGCTCGTTCTATTTGTTTGCGAGAGTACGGTAGTGCTCCTGAAATTAATATCTATGGGTATCCCAAGTTTACATTCCCGTGAGTATTTGGTTGAGTTTGTTACCGAGATTTTTCATCTCTCTTGTTTTTCACTACGCCTTCAATAATTGATCCTCCAAAGCATTTCCGGTTCTTTTGTTCAGTGTCATAAATCTGGTAATTCGTTGATCCTTTGACATCTGGCCTATGTATTATCTGTTTTCTGGATAGCAGGTATGTTCCAACACATTTGCATCTGATGGTCTTTG